TGTGTGAATTTGGCACGCACAGATACAATAGTCTTTGGGAAAGAACTTTTTATGCCATCAATTTTAAAATAATAAGCTCTAAGTAGGTATTACATAACCTGTACAGAATTAACCAGATAAGCATTTTTAATAAAAAAAATAAGAATTCTAAAAATAAAATTAACATTGTCCATTAATAAAAAGCTATGTAGAGGTCATGTTATCACTAACCTTTTCACCTTAATACTACATTTGCGTCAATGACTTTTGACTGCAATTAGTGAAACACGCTCAGTCTGCGATACGGTTTTTAAGCAACTTTCGGAACGGCCAGTCTTATTCTTAATATAAAATGCTTAAAAAGTCCACTTGGTCCCAGGCACCTGAGATGGGAATCGAACCCACGACCTTTCGCAATCCGGGCGACTGCTCTAACCGCTGAGCTACTCAGGACCCAACAGGACTGACGAATCTTTCAAGCACTTGTTACTTTTCGCTACTACAAAGCGTATTCTCATCAATGATCAGGCATATATAGAATGGGTGACCAAAAATGAATTAACTCGAGCTCCTCCGTGCTTCAGAAAACACGTCAAGCCGTTGGTTCCGGCTGCGGTTGCGTGGGTCATAGCCCATTTTCCCTATATGATGTGATTCGATTCCATATATCATTAAGGCCTGAGCCCCAGAAAAGGGGAGATTAATAGGCTGGTGATGATGATCAGCATTAATTAGGGCGACGAACAGTAGCCCTTGGGCTGATTACGGGCGGCCCATAGAGGAAAACATCAATGTGTATACCTCATTTTTTTAATTAAGGAGGAGGCAGGTACCATCGCTGACCTGTCCTAGAGAAGTGAGAAATGCGCAACGCATTCCATATCGTAAAAAAAACGTCAGCATTATTATGTAAGTACTTGCGTAAAATATGTGTTGGCTAGCCTAACAACATTTTTGTTATATCTCTCTGTATGATGTAGAAATCCACTCATAGTTTTAACCTATTTAAAAATTTGCGTCAATTATTTAAATTGAAGGAGTTTGATGTCGTTTTGAGGAGCTGGGTGGTTGTGGTTAGCGCATTCCCTCTACGATGCTGAAATTTAGTTTCGCAAAGGTCGGTAATAGATTGGGTAGCTGCATACGTGGCACATTCGATTCCATCGATGTATTAATAAGAAAACTATTTTTTTTTATTAAAGAAGGCATGTGCCCCAGCAATAGGGACTTTAATAGGCTGATGATGCTGATTTATTCTGGAATTGACCCTCTACAGCTTATGTACAGTCAACAGCAAGTCAGATAATACAAACCGTCAATTTCTCTACTAGATTTTAAACCTTAATGCGTTGGGGTTTGAGGTCAATATCTATTGCAGATGTTTGACATATTATCATAAGTGAAAATAAAGGTTTCTGTATTTTTTTTTGGAAAATATGAAGCATTTTAACTTTTAAATATTTAACGAAATCAATTTTATGACAATAATTCGGAAAAAAAATTGTTTAGGAAACTTGAAAAAAGTAGGGTAATTATATAACAAATATTTGCTAAAATATATATGACAATCACATTAGCAATATAAACGTTACAACTTCATTATAACAGCTATAAGCATAAACACCAAATAAAACAGGTATTACAAAGATTGCCCAGACACTCATACGTTTTTCGCCACTGTAGCACTGTGTGACGTCACTTAGTACCTTGTATTTGTAACATATTTGTAGGGCTACTAGCAGCAGTTCTACAAACGTACCACCGTATCTCCGAAACTATTAATCGCAGACATACTGTATTTCTATATTATTTCTCAGATATTAATTAACTATTTATTTATCCTCGTAAGGCCCAAAGTACATTATATTGTACAAAGTATGATAAGTATATCTGACAAGACTAATATTATTTTTCAGTTTTGTACTAAAAATATTGCAATTACTATTTCCTGTTGATTGATCTCACTTATATTATGTCTAGATTGTAAGTATACTATTACTTTATAGTGCCCAGAAAAAAACAAAAAATTCCTAGACAACATTTTCTTTAAAAAAAATGAATAAATGCGCGTGAGCTGGAACTATGAGAGAAGAACTTGTACATCATGTTGCACATTGGGCGTTCAGCTGATCTAGCCAAAAATAACTTGGGCCTTACGAGGTTAAAAAATAAAATAAAAAGTTGTCAACTAGCCTGATTTTGAAATCATTATCAGAAGTATTTTTATTATATAAAAACTCTCGTCACAAAAATACCAGAGAACTATTTTTATAAAGCGTGGTTAGGTAAACACATACAAACGAAACTACTTTTTTAAAGGTCATTGTAGCCAAATATTATTAAAAAGGAGGCGTGTCCACTACGCCATCCATGATGTGTACGACAAATCCTTCAAACCTCGCCAAGAATAAAAGGTGCCAAGTTACTTAACAACTCTTGTAATGATTAAATGGCTAATGAGTTTTGATACTCTTTAAAGGTTACATTAAATCATATCTCGTGTTTGTTCCAAAAAAGAGTGTGGATATTTCTTGATGAATAGCGATCAATGGCATTAGAATGTATAGAAGTTTCTCGTTATTACTGAAAAAGCCCAAAGAATCTTATTTTAGTGTTACAAAAACATATGAATCAGGGCAGCTTTAAGCGTCAAGCATTTGTCCACGCCCGCCAGAGAAAATTCTTCATATCGTTCTGCACGAATCACCGGAAGTATTCCGAACGTTATCAATCCCATACAAATTGTATGACGTTACCAAAATAATTGACTTGAAACAAATTTCCTTATTTGTTACTGTAAATGATCTTACAATGGCAATTAATACATCTTTAAATAATCATTGATTTAAACCACAATCCTTCAAAATCATCCATTCGTAAGAGAAAAATATTACGCCTTGACTCTAATGAGGGGTTAGGAGATAATAAGGGTGAATGAAATAATGCAATGGCTGACCCCATGTCAAGTGCCACAACAGTGTCCTAAAGTAAAACTTACCAATAAAAAGATAATGGTAACTGTTTGGTGGTCTCAGCGTGGTGTTATTCAGTATAGTTTTCTCCGATCTGGTCTCCGATGTTGAGTAGATCTTCACCATTATTGTTACAACACGAGAAACTATTTTGAACCCTCAGGAACTGCAGTTAGAAATTATTTGTCATCCTCCTATTTGCCGGACCTTGCTCCAACGGACTACCATTTTTTTCATGATTTGGAAAATTATCTATGTGACAAGAGGTTTTCTTCCCAGAAGGCAGTACAATATGCTTTCACACAGTTTGTGCAGTCTAGATCCTCAGAGTACTATCGCAAAGGCATAAATGACCTTCCTATTAGATGGCAGCAATGTATTGATAATAATGGTAACTATTTTGATTAAATATTTTTTAATTGTTAACAATTAAAAAGTAAACAATTTTGATTTTCAGTACAAATCGGCAATTTCATACTTTAACCCCTATTATTAATATTTCTTAATATAACTCTTCATTACACACAGACCCGGATCTAGGGCATACGCCCCGGGCGTCAGTGACAGGGGGGCGCCAAAATCATGATTAGATAATACCTAACAGTTAAAAAAACTAGACTACATTATAGGCTGCGATGAAACGGACATGCTTCAAAATCCCTAATTAAAACAAAGAAAAAAATCATAAGTATGGTAATAGTAAGCCTCATAAATATGGATGGATATAAAAAATTCAGCCTCAACATGAACGAACGAAGTTTCTGCCCCTGTGTAAAACAATTGTAGATCCGGGTCTGGTTTTTATGCCTTTAAAGTCCTTTAAAACACTCAGCATTTCCTTATTATATTTCAATCTCGAAAAACTACCTTCATTGCACTTATGCACTTCAAACCGAGTCACAATTAAATGATTTACTTCCTTACACGTACGTTACCAAAGCAGAAGTTAAATACATATTTAATGAATAAAATACGGAATCTTTATGTTAATTTTACTGTATAAAACTTTATTAACATGTTTGCTACAACATATAAATAGATTTACAATAAATAATTTTAATTTCATTACTTTTCAGAATCACAATATTAGTTTAAATCGTTATTATAACATATTTACTTTCTCTTATTTATAAACTAAAGGCCTTTAATAACTAATGTGTGCTGTATGGTTATATAGTGTTGTCTTTTTCTCTCGAACTTAAACTGACCCCGTATAAAAAAATCAACAACAGAAAATTTTTGGTAGTGAAAAATGCTTAAAAAATCCACTTTGTCCCTGGCACTCTAATATTTTTCAAGCATTTTCCACTAATATTTTTTTTCAGTATAGCATTGTTAATGAAAAATTGATCGAATATTATAAAAGATAACAACAGTTCAAGAAACAAAAAAGTACCCACACAGCAGCAATATATCCGCATGTTGTAAGAAAAATATCTTAAGTGTTCTTTTTTATAACAATATAACATTGTGAAAATAAAATTTATCGAGATCTACACGATTTCACCGGTCTATCTTGCAAACTATAGTAATTTCTTTTAATATTTCAGAATGCAATGTAAACAAAGTTATTTTGATGTAATTATTATATATTATAAATTTTACATTCACAATGCAAATTAGTGTGATCTCATCAGAAGTCTTACAACAGTATCAATACAATTTGAATCGTAACTGACATGGCTTCGTGGCCTTATTTAATTTTAAATTAACACACATTTAAAAAAATATCCAATTCACTGGAACGTCTATGGAATCCCTACAAATAGCAGTCGTTATTGATTAATTTACGCTTAATCTTTAAGCACTTATATTTTTTACAATATAATAAATTGTATTGGTGTCAAAAAAACTGAACTAGAACAGTGTTGGTACTCAAAATCTATTTATCAGCAAAAATATATATTATACAACAAAGACTTAATGCATAAAGCTCATTTCATTTCGTGTAAACAAAGCGCATTTGATAAGATGTCATTTAAATTTAAAATCTAACATTACTATAAGTTATACTATTGAAATATTCGAGAACGAATTACAAAAAATATATTACATGTCCCATATGAATATATTTTGTAGCATAGCCAACGATTGCGACTGAGTGTCGTTGGTAGCTATCAGATCTATTGTGACGTGTTTAGCCGCTTGTAGAATCTTGAAACAGGAATTGTTTTCAGGTGGCAATTTGTGGCATAACTGTGTGAAAAGTTCTTTAGCGCACTCGTAATGAAAGACTAAGGGGTCCAAAATGTCCGTTAGATCTGCGGCAGTCAACATGCAACACATATGCGCAAGAGTCACGCATAACTGAAAGAAATAAATAATATATTTGTCGTTCTAAAATCTTCTAGATGTTTAGGATAAAGTTTGAACAAATTATCTTAACTATTCACTATTAAATCAAGTCAACAAAACAATATCTTAGGTAAATAATAATATACATATGGTGGAACCATTACGGTTGAAGTCGCTCTATCCTTTTCTATCGTTCAAAATTGCCATTTGCTAGAGCGAGAAAGACAGCGGGCGTGCGATTGCACGCCGCGGAATTCCTCGAGACTATAACAACATTATCTCTCTCGCTCGGCTGGATGGTACTGAGCAGTAGAAAGAGATAGGGAGACAGAAATAGCGATACTGTGTTGCCAGATGTAGGCTAACCCTTCTCAGAAATACTCAGATCATCATTTTAAGTTTATAATTATAAACAAGTGACATCAAAAGCTTAAAAAGAAAAAGTATTCGACCGTTAAATCTAAGAAAGTTCAAATTATTAAACATGTTAGTTACACTTCAAGTAGGGATTGATGGTGGAGTTGACTTACAAAAACAACAAACACACACATATTAACACTAACAAAAACATATTTTACGATGATGATAGTTGCTTACCTGTTCAATAAGATTATCTTTATGCTTGTACTCTGTAAAGTCGTCGACGTTAGCAGCATTCTCCATAGCCGCCATGATGCCCCTCCATACTGCTACGAAGTGTTCTCCATAATGCGAGCGTGTAACAGGCGCTCGTAATGCCATCGCGGCATTTATGCGTACTTTAAGATTTTTACACTCCAGACATAGTTTGCAAAGGCTGGGAAAGACTTGAGCCTAGAGATAAAAAAAGAAAATCTCATTAAAGTTCCGTAGCCGAGTGGTTCACACTCCTGTTTCGTGGCGACGCCATCTCTGAGGTCCCGGGTTCGAGTGACGCCATCTCGATTCGCAGTCGCGTAGAAAAAGGACTTCTCTATGAATATAGAGGTCTGAGATAACTCTGGGCCTGGGTATTGTGGTATTACCTTCGTCTAGAATACTTCATAATAAAGGGGCTTTAACTACTCATCATGGAATCTGAGCAACGTATGTGATGTTCAGCTAGTTGCACAAACGTCCATTAAAATTGTCATTACTTTAAAGCGATATTACCCATGACATTCATTAGAGCTTAAAGGCGTCATTAAACCTTAACGGACGTTCGTGCAATTGACCGGTTGTTAATATTTATTTACGTATGTTACAGGAACTGCAGTCAGTTTAAGACGCTATTCGAACGTAATAAGTATCAGTCGCAAATGATAACAGACTGGACTTGACAAACTGCAAGCACATCACCTACGAATTGTACTATAGATTACGAATTTCACAAATCTATACTAATATTAGAAAGAGGTGAATTCCTAACTTTATTTGTAGGGGGCAATCTTTGGAAATACTAATCCAAACAAGAAAATGCTTTCACCAAAACTACATCATACGTGAATGTCAAGTCGCGCGAAAACAGCTAGTAAAAAATAAATAAAAATCGCATACATTGCTCAGATCCTAAACTAAAGACAATGCTCTTTTTTATAGAAATCTGAGACAGCAAAATTACCATAGCCACCCAAACCTGAAACAGTTAAGAAAAAACACTACATTAACCCAGCCCGAAATCGAACCCGGGGCCAAAGAATTAACGACACTTTAAAACCAGCGTTACTCATACGATTGTTAAAATTAAATTATAAGTAGCCAAATCTTTAAGCGCACAAATAACATATAAACAAATCATCGCATTAAAATCTAGATAAATACATTGGTACTAGATTACCTGGTTTTAAGCGCCTTTGATGCATTGCAATAATACAACTGTTAATTAACTTACAACGATAAATTTGATATACTAAGACAAACATATTCTTTTCTGTGGCAATCCCGTTAGGTTCTAGTCTCATATTTACCTATAACTTAACTCTTTTAAAAAAACAGAAGCGAAATATATTAAATTATATATAATAATAAACATTAACCTTGACTTACGTTTATCGAATTACAACCGCATAAATCTGCTTCGATACTAGTTACTATATCACGACTTGAAGTGATAACTTTATCATAAAATAAACTTATACTTACAGGAAATAAGAAAGGTAAATATAGACACAAATTCTCTTAAAGTAATAACTCACTATATAAATTCATGGACTAATATATTCATTATGCAAGTAGAAATACGACACAAAATAGTAATTTTGTATATATTTTTCTATAGATCTACTTTAGCGCCATGCGGTTACTAGTACCTAATAGTGTAATCTGTTAAGTCCGATGTATGTTTAATTCTTATATCGAATTTCGGTCTCTTAAATCAATTATAGCACGCCGGTTTCAAGGTGTCGCCGGTTCGATTCCCGTTTGGGTCAATGTATATAATGAACTTTTCTATATAGTCTTGGGTCTGAGTGTTGTGGTACCTTCATTGCCTCAATCTTAATAATAATCATCTTAATCGTCATCTTTTCGGACTCGCTCTCTGCTCTCAAGGAGTTAGAGAACAGAGATTCCACCAACTCACTGATATCGTCTGCACACAAATCAATAGACAACATACAAAAAATAGGAGCCATTAGATTCTCATGGATAAAAGCTCATATTGGACTCATTGGCAACGAACTAGCTAACCAGGCAGCAAAACTAGCTACTACACTGACAACAGCGCTAGAATTCACCTACTTCTCGGTGTCTTACCATAAAAGAATGGCCAAATTAGAAATTGAAATGGAAATCAATAGTAGATATATAAACAGTAATACAGGACTACATAATAAATAACTCATGCCCAATATAGACTCATTGAACAAAACCTTAGAAAGTGTACCACCGAATTTTGCCCCAACTCAACTCTTTACTAACCATGGCTACCACCTGGAGTATTTACACCGCTTTAAAATAAAAACTACCGACAAATGCCCATGTAATAACACCACTATTCAAACACTCAGTCATTTAATTGAAAATCGCCCCAAATTCAGTAATTCCCGCTTTAAATATTTATAAACCTTTAGTTACACCTTTAATCACAATCATAATTTAAACCCGTATGATCTCCAAACAGTGATAAATAAAGAAACTACCACAACAGCATACATAAAATACATTCGTCATATAATAAACAATATTAAAGAATTTAATAGAAACATAATCTAAATCCACAGATCCAAACCATAAAATAATACAAACTAAAACCAAAGATTTAAATTGCTCGTATACCATTAGCGAGAGTTTTTATCTAATCTTGAAAGAGACGTCTAAAAAAAATACACGACAATAATAAATAATACATATAATAATATAGTTGCTCGTCTTGAAATCAGAGCAATGTAGGTGATCTTGTGTAATATTTATCTTCTTCTTCTATATACGGGCGTCGCCGCAAGTCGACGGCGAAACGGCTTAATCAATTTTTATATTTCATATGTATATTCAATAGGGCTGAGAATAGCTCGTTATCTATTTTTATACCCCTAAACGATAAGAGTGTTCTACCCCATATTCATATGACAAAACAACGTTTGCCGTCAACTAGTTTTATTATAAAGTGGACCCGATCCCTGTCTAATCCGACGCCTTATGTAATCCGATCCGACACACCTAACACTGTTAATTCATCACATTATACAAAACTGTCAAATTTCTCCACTTGATATTAAACTTAATAATATAGATAAATAAATAGATAGTTAAAAGTAGAATAGGAAACAATAAGCAGAATAAGCGGATGATCCTCCGCAAAAGTGTAAAAGATGATGAATGAATGTATCATATGCAGTATGGAAATATGATAGGAAAAATTGCAAGAACTTGTATGCGTGATAAATATAGAAAAATAAAGCCTGCTAAAAAGTGGGGACAAGTGTAGGGCCTGGCCTGTATTGTAGGCCGGGTTATAAAAAAAAATAATAGAGTAGAAAATCGATTGTGAAAATTTGACATAATATCGTAAATTGACGTGCGTGAAAATCTTTACATTTCCTATGAAACAATTTGTTTAAGTACAATTTTATGTATATATGTAATATATTTGTTTGACCACAATTATTTTCTCCTATGCAGTATTCTATTACCCGACAAAATTTGATAATCCGATATCGCCCTGCAAATCGTCTGTCGGGTAATCGCGGGTCCACTGCATTATTATTTAATTTACACTCTGTTGATCACCTACCTGCCATCCGCTGAAGCAAGTGAACAGATATTCATTCTTCATCGCGTTACCCATAGCGTAGCAAGCGTTCCATCGCACCTTCATATTGGCCACTTTGCACGCGCAATCCAAAAGCTTCCCTATAGCGGTCTCGCATAAAGTCTTCATTTGAGGATCACGTTGGAGATTCTCGTTCTTGATCAAACGAAGAAAATTACCTAGTCCTCGCGTTGCGCTCATTTTGACCTGATAAATAAGAATTTGATTTTTGAAAAATTACAGTATTGATTATAATAATTTTATACAAAGTATCAATAACATTTTGAAGATTAAAACTACTTTATAATTAGTTTCAATTTCTTATCTAAATTTAGGTGTCACCCAAAACTCTATAAAAATCAATTGCTGTTCGTTTGTCTCGCTAAAACTCAAGAACGGTCAGGCTGATTTAACTGGTTTGGTTTTGAAATTTGTTGTAGTCTAGAGAAGATTTTAAATCTTCGGTGATACGAAATACTCCGCCTAATCAATTTCACTAATTACTAGGGGCCAATTTACATTATAAGCTATCGCTGAAGTTTTGTTATGTCGAACTTGCCATGTGTCAAAGGATAAAAAACAATTTGTTTATGGGAAGTGAATGCGTTTCCCAGTTAAGCTATGCCTTGTTTTAATGAAAATGGACATAATGTCATGTCGTATGTCAATTAAAGTTTCAGTCTAAAAACATTCATAGGCCAATCTAATCAGTTAAAGGCAAATAAATATTAAGTTTCTTTAATTACATCGTAAAGTGCATATCCATGTTATAACCGTCTTTGGATTTTATTCACACTATGAAATTCATCTGCAAAAAATAACACAAAAATATCGTCATTTGATTAGTAGGAATCCATCAAAACGCTGAAGGAAAAAAGATACGGGAAATTTTAATATTTCCTCGTATGACCTCGGGGAATCACCACAGGTATTTATGTTATCGCCAATGACTCATAATAAATACAGGTCAAAAACAAACGAGATGTTAATTAGGATCTGATAAATCGCTTATTCTCACTAATTTATTGGACCAATAATATTACAATAACAAAGGGTAGATAGTAATGTAAGACATCATCTTTTACTCATTTTGGTAAAAGTAGGCATTAAATCATCATATGGTCTGTGACATGCTGAATTATAGTCTATGAATAATTGGAGAGTAACGTGCCATGTGTGTGTGTGTATGCTGGGACCAATTTTTGACATCGTATTAGTACCTGACATTACCTATCCACCTTCTATCTTTTTATTGTAATCCATTGTATTGTACCATAAATTACTCATCTATACTAGAGAGGTTTTAACGTATTACCAATGCATGTCACGAGGCAGCGTCAACTAAATCTAAATCTGTTATGTTACCTGCAAGTCTCATGCCCAAAAGAATAGCCTAGTCCAAAGTTTTACGTTAACGCGTTCGCTATTGAGTGCGTAGAGTAGAGAAAAGTAACGGAATATGAAATATCGTTCCAAAATATTGAATATGTATTGAAACTCCTTAAGATATTCCTACTAGGAAAAATATTGTAAATTTTCAAAGCTTGAGGAAATTCGCGATAGATTTACGGATTTGCTCGACTTATTTCAGTGTATAAATTTTTTGTACAGAATAATTTTCAATGTAATTTCAAAAGTTTTACATTTTAGGTATATATAGAGCATACTATTTCATATTTTGGTTACTTTCCTCTCTCCTTGTATAAAACACTGTTTTGTATAATAGACATCGCATAACTTCGTGTTACTGAAGATGATCATATCAACACATATAGATAGTATAATAATATAGAGCTGCTCTTACATAGTTTACGTACCTATACAGAATAAAATACTTGAAAATACTATATCAAACAAAAAACGATCCAGGATTATATCAGCTCAGCTCAGTATAGTTCTTAAAAAAGATAGCGCTCTTCCTTCCTGCTCTAAATACTACCTGCAACTGACAAATCAGTGTACCGGCGCGCCATTTGCAAAGCTTACAACTAATTTGCCACTTTTAAAAATAACGATGACCTTTATTCGATTGCAATAAAGATGAAATTGTCAATTGTTTTTAAAGGGTGAACTAATTTTCGTTTATTTCCTTTATATGCCAAGCGATTGTTTTCCGACGTCCATTATTTATCATGAAGTACTGTACTAATCGACTATATATAGGATGCGTATTTTAAGTCACCTTATCGTTGTCGACGGCACATTGTATGCTGACCTCCATCAACCGCCGCAATAGGTCGTCGTCTATACAGTCCATCTCCGGTTCTTCCCTGATAATACAAGTTTAATAGCCAGTTTTAGAAACGTCATTAGTTTAATTTCACATTACTCGTACACATTTTCAAATTTAGAACATTCATTATAGCTTAAAGGCGAAATTAAACCTTAATGGACGTTTGTGCAACTGACCGTAAGACTAAACAAATATATCGCTTATCATTACGACATAATTAAAATGAAGTCAAATTGATTATTATGTAACAATATATTTTTGTCTAAATCCTCTTAGAACTCGCAAACGGCTGCACCGATTTGTATGATATTTATATTTTTGAATTTTCTTCCTCGGGAATAGGACATTAAGTATTAAAATATCAAGACTCTAAAACTCCGTGATAATAGTGAATTTTTATAATAAATCGTAACTGACAGTGCAAGTAATGTTGTCTATGTCTGTGGTATGTTTTAAATTTTTCTTAATAATTTAGTAATCATTATAAAATTCTTAATCTGCTCATTCATCGACTGTTAGGTAGAACAAAGTTCGCCGGGACCTCGAGTTGTAAATAAAAATTAATTATATTTATTGTAACAACACCTTAAATTAAAACAACACATCTTAACTTAAAACGTCTGATTATAACTAACTAGCAGATATTGTATAACTACCTAGTGCGCGTAGCTTCCCGTAGGTTAAAGAATTTTTACAATCAGTCCATTAATTAAAAGTCAACAGTATCAAAAGGTTTTATAAACGCAAGTGAGTTTTATTGTTTATCAAATGAAAGCAGACTTTATTATTACACTAGCTTTCCGCCAGCGGCATACAGACGGCGGGAAGCAACTTCTTTTATACATGAATAGATACACGTAAGTGATGCTACATATAATATTTAGCTAAAAATAAAATAACGTTATCTAAAATTTCTCAGTCCACGAACCCTTAAAAAATCAAATAACAAGTCTACGACCTCCGTAGTCGAGTAGCTAACACGCCAGTTTCAAGGTGACGCCATCCCAATAGCAAGGCAATTTCAATTCCCTAACGGAAATACTTTGAAATGAACTTTTCTATATTGTGTAATGATACTTTTTTGTTTCAGATTTTCATAATTAAATTGCTTTAGCTACTTAATAAAAATAAATTAAAATGTGGCCAGCGATTAGTTTAAATTAGACTCACATGTTTAAAACTAGCGCGTCACTAAGGTTGCCCAGAGCCCACGCTGCTTTAGTTCGCACCATCAAAGTTGACTCCGCCAATGCTCTCAGAACATTTTCACCACAATCGCTCACAAAATAAATATCCTGTAACAATATACCGAATGTGGATGATGCTTGGGCAGAACAAAACTAATTTGTTTTAGTCCGTCAGTCAGATAATAGAAAATGATGAAATACCTACGTATATTTTTTTACTTCGATTCGACAAGAAATTGTTTAGATAATAGGCTTGAAAGTTGAGGAGGGGCTACTCGCTACGTCACTACTATGTAGAAAATGTACAAAGATTACATTTCAACTTAATGTATTGCAGTTATTTATTAATTACGAAAAAAAATAAACAATTATCAATAACGACATTATAAATATTTTTACCCAAATGTGAAAACGTCCAGCTGTCAAATAACACCTCCGATAACGGGGTATAATAATTACACAATGCTTAATAGTAATGTTTTTAGAGTTATAGTGACCCTTCGAGTTTCTAAATCTAAATATCTTTCTTACCTCTCTTAAAGTACGGAACATAACCGCCATAGCTAACGCACGCACAGCGGCTGCACGTACCATGGCCTCTTCGTCTGAACACGACCCCACCAATAAGGTGCAGCAGAGTACTTGCAACCGTCTCTGATTACAAAAACAACATATATACTAATATTAGAAAGAAGAAATACTTGAATATTTGGACCAATTAATAATTTTATGGACCATTAACATAACTTCAAAAGTGTTGGCCTGCTAAGTTTTAACAAAAGTCTCCATAGATCACAGAGTAATAAAATATAGATTATTGATGAAACTAACCGGTAGTTCTTTAAACGACTTCTCGCCTATATTGGCTATGCAATCACAAGCGGTCGCTTTTGCAGGGGAATTGTCTCGGCTTTGCAGAACAGCAGACAGAGGTGACAAAAGCTCCTCCCACATATAAACACACTGCGTAAGCGGCGGGGGCTGCTCGGTTTGCTCTGAATTATGTAACATAAAGCAAATATATTTTTGCACTCATAATTTAAGTATTTGTTATTCTCGAGCAAAAAGAAATTTTTTTTTCTTTATTTCAAAAATGACTGATAATGTGTGACGTCACTTCGCGACATTGAGAGTAGTTGAATGAACATTAAAAAATACAAATGTAAGTTCTAAGTTCTCACTACGTAACAAGCCATACAAGACTACAGTAGTAGATTAATGTATGTTGATAGTAGTGGTGTAAAAACAGAATAGTGGAAGCAGAAACAGAACAAGAAATTAAAATAAAATTTAAGCAGAAACAGAAACGGATGCGGAAACGGAAGTATAAACTATGAAAAAATGTATGTATATATGTATAAATATTATTATATATGAAATGATAATAAAGACTATATTATAGGTATATAATAAGTATATTTTTTTTACTAAAACTAAACAAACACGTAGTAACAAATCAAAATAAGTATCGCACGCGCCCACCTTTAACATTCCCCTCTCCCCACCCTGACGTGTTCCATAAACAAACAAGCTTTCAAGAAAACCATGCGTCGTAATGTTCTATTATATATAAGTTGCGGAACCAGAAACAGAAAAGGATGTCAGAAAACATGCGGAACTTCTGCAGTTGCGGAATCAGAAGCAGATGTGTGTTGCATCACTAGTTAATAGCCATCAAAGCAGTTTCTTTTTTTAATATCATTTCAAAACTATGTTTACCAAAATCACACTTGGTACCTATAACACTGATTGTAGAGTCAAGTGTAACAAACTTAAACTTTATGATATATAAACTAAGTTGCAATGTTATCCCTTGCAGGTTTCAAAATGTGCTATAAATAGGCTTACCTAACCTTTGTAGAGCATCACCAATTATACTTATCGTCCTAGAAGCTTGTAGGACCACGTCTTGGTGTTCATGTTGCAATAATTCTTTAAGTATATCTGCTAACATAGCTATATGGCCGATAAGAAGTTCCGAAAAGTGATGGAATGCAATTGCTGATAGCACTTGAAGTGACTCGAGTATCACAGGAATAGCTGATGATTTGCATCTCTAAAATAAAGTCATAAAGAATATATATTGCAAACTCTAGCTTTTAATTAATAAAGTTATGTATTAACGAAATTTTAAAATACATCATTCGATTGCTTATCTGTATATTTTGTTTAGAGTTGTGTTAATATAACAAAGGGTAAGCCCTTAGCTTAAGCTCACTGGCGGGCGGTATATAAAGTGAGATTACACCGTAAAAATTTCAGCATGCCCTTAAGAAAGCATTCAAATTCAGTATAATTTATTCAGTCTAGGCTATTACAAACACTTGTAAATGTCGAAAGCTATGCCATCAGTTCGTAAATCGACGGCGGAAGGGCTTGTACTGAGAAGAACTGGTAGAAACTCAGCAGGGGCTGCTTTTTCTCATGTCAATGCCCATTGGGCGGACTTAATAGGATGGCTTTTCGAAGATGAATTCGACATACCCTCATTACTTAGCCAATGACGGATATGCGTAAGGCATTTTTCTTAAGTTAAAATATAAGCATGCAACGGTGTCATTGTCTATTATGATTACGAAAGACGATAAGTCAATAGACCATAGAGTAGCCATTCTATAGGCTCAGGCGCAAAACATTCCGAGACATTCTGACGGTATACCTAAGAACATCGCATATTTGTTTTTGTACCTATATTCTCTGTCATTGAAGACTATATATTATTTCCACGTCGGTATATTATATTTATAATTGTTACTTATTGCATATCAGTACTTGCTGTGCCACAACACCGATGAGAACAGCCTCTAAACCTCTACATACATTTTTTTATTAATTTTAATTATAATATGCTACATACCACAACTTCATTTTCTTTAAAAATCCACCCCATATTCTTGAAGCAAATATCCAATATCCAGGACTTGAAATTAGAGTTACTAATACTGTCTTTGTCACATTCTACTTTAACATCTCTGACGACAAACAATTCATCATCAGAATATCCTTCTTCAAAATCATCACATTCTTCATCTGCTATTCTAGAGCTGTTAGGTGGACTGAGTACTTTCGAGGAAACAACATCCTTTTCTATAGCTTTTAGGACTTCCTCAACTTTAGGGTCTACAGATAAAACACAACCCATTGTGATTAAACTACCAACTTGTAATGTGACATCTGTAATAAATCAATTGACATTTGTAAAAGAAACAGCTAACTTCTTTACGACGCCAGCAGTAATGTAATAACAGGCACACACGCTGCACAGATTCAGCTTGCAGTAAAATATAGAAATAAGACTACCTCCGTGGCAGTGTGGTTAGCATGCCAGTTTTAAGATGTCGTCATATCTGATTGCTATATATACAAGTGCTTCTGCTACATAATTTAGGATCTGAGCATTTTATCTGATATTCTCAAAATGAAGTGCTTAATATCATTTCATTTTATTCAATCCAATTATTTTAATTAAAAACACTAATACATAAATAAATCAGTCAGGGCTTCAACAAAAATACCCGTTATAGTTGAAGGGTGTTGAAGTATATCATATAAACAGTACTCTGACAAATTTTCAAAACCTTTGCATTAACTTTTAACTTTCAGTAAAAAGGCTAATTTTTAATAATTAATAAATACATCGAGTGTGCTATGTCACATCACTATTTTAGGTTAATGACCTTACCAGGAGTAATGGCACACTACCTATCTCCTATGTTTTCTAATTCTTTTTTCTATTCTCCTAGTACACACCCACACATACACACTAAGAATGAGAGAGAAAATATACTTCAAAACATGTCTGCGTTTGCCAGTTTACACAGTAAATACTTAACCTATTTCGATCGAAAATAAAATGAAAAGAAATTAAATAGGAATCAAATCATTGGCAAAATGGTATGGTAACCGACGCTGTTCAGCCGGTAGTCTAATTTCAGTAAAAAAAATTATAATACATATTATTATCAACGCGCACATCATTTCATAGCATCGTTTCCGACTCAGCTGTTTCTGAATTACAGATCAAACACCATTTTAAGTAGTACCTATTTATGATAGATAGGTAAAATTTATTTAAACACTGATATAAGAGTGTAACTTTTAGTTCATACTTTAATGGTCCGACAAATCTGATAGATATTACGATAATAAAAAAAAATATGATATGCGACATAATTCACAAACGATTTTGGCGTATTTAAAAATAAATATTTGCGAATTACTATTTGTACTTTACCTTTTCACTTCCTTATTCACTGTTTAAGCATTACTTGTGAGGTTCACTCACCTACACTTTATTAGGCACTTAATTTTATTCCACAAGAAAAAACTAAAGATCGCGGCCAATCTCTGGTTCACTGACGTTTCAGTATAATTACATCTTTTCAAAATAGTCTCAATTTATATCAATACAACACTGCATCCCATGTAACACTGATAAAAGCACTTTTCATAGTACTCGGAATTAGAGAACACGGACATTTTCGAAACGTGATCACATCGACGACGTATGAACAACTGAATAAAGAAAAAGTGATAAAAAGGGAAAGCCGCCAATTTGAGTCCTTTATTATAAGCCGCTGCATAGTGTGCGGCATGTCAAAGGCGCACAGAAAGGTACCTATAGTTCCGCAATTAAATCTGAGAAGTAGTGGGATAGGGTTGCCATCTTCTCTTATTAGATCGGAAATTTTGTCCTTAAAGCCGGACTAAGTCAAATCTCACGCGAAGCCGTAAAACAATATTACCGTAGTAGACAGTAATATTAGTTCACGGCTTCGCGGAGGTTACTGCCTAGTTAAGCAAAAATCACTAACTTTCAATTGATTTTGTAGTAAGACGTAACACAAATAAGCGTTAATTAAAGATAAGATAACTACATCATAATTTTAACGCTTTTATCACAGCCAAAACGTGAATTCATAAAATAAGGCTTGATCGTAACATCAAAACTGCACAACCTATTTTGAAAAAGGTTTTTTTTTATAAAGTAATTTCGGAGACTATACGATGCAAACAAACTAACGATTTGTATTCAAATTTCGCAAATACCCGTGCAACACTGCGTCTTTTTGGGTATTTGGGTATTTGACGTTTTTCGAATTTGTGTGTATTCATAGTTTATTTGATATAGCTTCGGCACAGGTATACCAAAAACCTATGAAAACTATACCGCCGGACATGTGACATTAACATTTAGCTGCACACAATCTAAAAAGTCAAACATGTCCCGCTAAAGACGAATAGATGACAACCCTAGACAGGCGGCAATGTTAAAGTTTGAGCCTAAACTTCTAGTTGCCTAGTACCGAGGTGATCAACATTTTATTGTACAAATTAAAAAAATCGTCGCAGGACATTGTTGCAACTAATTTTTTTACATACGTACGTAAGTACATAATACGTATTAGGAATTGTTAATTGACAAAGTTTTTGTAAATTTTTATTGTTGTTGATAAGATAGTACATGGTTGTATTTTTAGTATTTACAAATTTAAACGTTGTTAATGTTTGGTAAAGACTAGTTTAAGTGAGAAATGTGATATACTTTCACGCTGCACCTGCAAACGAGCATGCTTGGCTCAGTCTGTAGAGAGGAAGTAGCATCGACTATCATAAGACATCGTTAAATAAATAAATTAATGTATTTCGTGGGCCGTAGTAATCTGCATACAATCGACATACCTGTTTAAAATTTTAACTCATTTTATACACCTTTTCTATTTTGAACTATTTTTCAAATAAATGACCATTTGTTTGTTAGCTGTGTCGGTCGTTTTAGGGCTTTTTCTATTTAAGGAAATAGGTAAACAGTACATAATAAAACGTCTCATTCATTTTCATTTCTTACAGCATTAAAATAGTGAATCCTATACTCTGATTCTAAAATTCAGTTGAATAGCCCACAGTAATAAAATAGATAATAAATTAAAATCCGTACCAAATGTTTACTACTACCGTATCTAGCGTCAAGTAGTCACTCGCGCGCGACATCACACAAACACGAACGATAATGTTTCGTTTCTTTCTCTCTCTCTCTTTCCCTCCCTCTCTATCTCTATTTTACGTCATTGTACACTCGGGGGAATAAGTGAATTTGTTTTAGGCTCGATTTTACCGATTATGTATTGATTTGTCTTACGTATTTAAATACCTAAACAATAAAAAATATTTTTAAGAGTTAAGCTAATGAAGTTATTTCTTAGCACCGGATACAACCCTTTCTGAGTGAGTCCAACTCTCACGTGGCCGGTTTTTTTTTATAATTAGTTGTTAGCAGTTTGATAAAACTAGGACTTTTGACTAGTGAAATATAAAAAAACTTCAGTTATTGAGAATATTCAGTTGAGATTTTGTACTTTTCTCAGTTCAGAAAGCGGCTCTTTGTCGACATTTTTTCTTGTCAGACGCTTTTAAGATACCTAAGTGTAGTGCATATCATTAACTCTAAGGTAGCAATCCATTTTACTTGAAACAATTTACATGTAGTAAGAGTAAGTGGTTGAAACCATAATCGGGAATGATCATATTCCCGATTAAGGTTCATATTCCATTTTAAGTCTGATCTTTTTATTGTAAAAATATTAGAAAAGAAATAAATTGACCATAAACACAATTGAAATATGTACACGAATATTGATCAATGTTTCAATTTATTCCCCGACTGTATCTGCGCTGACGTCATATTAGGTTTACTTTCGTAACAGAAGATTGTAGGTACGAGTACCAGGTTATCATGATTTAAAGACACGATGTGTAAAAATTCTGGTTCAAAGATGAAGCAGCTACAGATAGACAAAGTTACCTGGAAGACACTCGGTGATATACGTCGCCTACTTTCATAATATTGTAATTATTTTCATAAAAATGAAACTACCTAATTATGAAAAAAAATTGTTCGTGCAATAACGAATATTCTACTTATCTAGAGGTCGCGATATTTCTTCTTCCTCTGCTTCTCTATTTGTTTAGATTAGATGAAATTGATTTTATGAGTACATTATTGAGTGACGTGTCGTAGCATTAATTATAAAGATTATTATTTTGGATGGGCCGTCTACAGTTCGTAAAGAGATATTGTACGAGCATTTCAGGCGAAAGTATTTAATCCAGTGCAGTGACTATAGCGTACTGTTTATTGTTTGTTTCCGGGCCTGATATGTGCGTAGCACGGGCATAGTAATATGGCAAGGTATATTGGAAAGGGAGCTCTAATCTGAATAAAAACGAATTTTGGAAATAGTTTTAAAATAATGTTTTCGTGTAATATTTTGCATGTTCGAATATTTGCGTATGTCCACATAACTAGATAAATTATTTCGCTGTACTGTGTCGTAGGCACTAAATACCAGTAGATATAACCAGTCTGGCAAAATAATAGTCTTTGATTTAGAAGTCAATGAACTGAAACAGCTGATCATAATGTCGGTGTGCTTCGATAAATGGTATCGAAAATTTTGCTAAACTTCGATATTGTTTTTTTCAATAAATACAATGGCTACGATATAAAGGACAGCGTCCATTATCTCAGTTTCATGTATACTCAATGCCATTTTCGGGGTAACGGGTTTTTTTGTATATTTGTATTTGAATTAAGAATCTTAAATAAATGAACTTATTATTAAAAATTCCACCAATAGTATACACTATAAAAATCACTTTCCTTACCTCTATGGACCAGGAACTTTCTGGTAGACTTAACCAATTCACTTATAAGACCCTCTTGCATTTTATGATAAGGAGTTGACTGTACTAGTGCCGCGCAGCATTTTAGAGCAACTATAATGACGGCATGACTTCGCTCGCTATCCAGTATACTGACGAGGACTTTATGCAGACATTTTATCACATACCCTAGGTTCACTGAGAATGGTATAAAAGAACTCACATCCTTTTTGCTGTAGAAAAAATTAAACCAAATGCACACATAAATATATATCTACAATCAGATATCCAAAATGTTAATACTAAAACCAAGAAGGCAACTGGAACAAACACCACATTTTACTTAAATAGTAGTTTACCTGCTTTCAGCTTGTGATAAATAAATTCTAGAGCCTGAAAGTAGGGCTAGAATGACACTCAATACACTAGCCCTGCTACTTGCTATGGGATCTGTGATCGCACAGTATGCTAACGTTTTCTTAACACCATCATCAATGAATCGAGTGTCTTTATCAAGTGAATCAGGCAGCAGAGCCCACCAATACCCAAATATATCTTTCTTTTCGGTAACCTATAATTTACAAAATGTCATCAGCAACCAACATGGGTGTCCATAGCAAATTAATTTATGATTTGTTAAGACTTAAAAACATTACATAAAATTAACCTTGATTAAAACCAGAAGTAAATTTGATGAACTTTGTCTCACTCTTGACTTCAAAGCGATAAGCTTAGCTTCTCTATTGCTCTCCACATCTGACATGTCAGAATCACTGGTAAGGGCCCAACAATTTTTAGCTTTTTGTGGTTCAAGATAATTTTTGCTGGCCGGTTTGTAAGCTGAGTTGTTCTCAAAATTATCAACATCCCTCATCAAACTAAGGTCTGATACTGGTATCTCTTTCTTCAAACTCTCTATGGCATTGTTTCTTTGTTTTCTTAATTTTTGCTTCTATAAATAATAATACTTGTTACTTTAATACAATAGAAATAAAAATATTAATATTAAAAAAGTAAATAAAAAAGTAAATAATGTTGCTAATTTTTTTTGTATTGTTTACAAAAATCTAGCAACATTCCTCATGGCAAGTTACTGACTTGAATTAATAATCATGAAATGGTAATGAAGTTCTGTAACTGCCATCTATGAATTAATAGACACAGAGCTCATGGCAAAAATGTGTAAGTTTCCATAAGCTTGAATGCTTGAAAACTTATTACTTCAACATACTGAAATATCAAGCTTTAGCAACCTCTTTTAGCACATTTTTATCACAAACTTTTTTATTCATAAATAAAAGTATAATGTTGGAGTCAATTTATGCTGTAACTGCACTCGTATTAGTGAAAACTCATTATATTAAACAGAGATTTAGCGAATGTTAACCCAGTACAAGGTTCTACGGTAGTAATATTTACTCCTAAAAGGTAGTAAGTTTGCTAATTTTCAGTATAATATAAATTTGAAATAATACTAAAATTGCAATTTCAGTGTAAATTTACTCTGATGGTAAACTTGTTTATTAATAGCACTCTTAGACTATAATTAACTGAACTATCCCAAGCTAGGCACAAGATTCATCATCATAGCTTAAGCATGCAGAAACTCAAGATAAGAAAGCATTGATTTACTACCTAAAGTAATTAAAGACAGTTGTTTATCTGCCATTTCACAAATCAAACAAACTAACTAGTGCACCAACAAGATCTACAACTTAATTTTTAATATAGGTATTGGATTGCTTACCTTACCTCCTTTAGGATATGTTTTTATAACAGGAGCTGCAATAGTTTGTTGTGATGGCATTATCTTTTCAGGTTTATTACCTTGGTTCAGAAGACCATACAAAATGAAGTAACGGCAGATACCCATTACTTCAGGCAATGGTACAGATACTTTTGGATCATTGAAATGTAGTTGAGATAGTACCCTTAATGCTGCAATTACAACCTGAAATTTATTATATAACACAATGTAGATTATAAGCATGCAATTAATTCATTTATTGCACTTTAAAAAAAAATGATATATTTGTAATTATTTAATTTGTTGGGACATTTTAAATATTCTGCTTCATTATAACAAAGTAGCTGCTTCCTGTGACTACCCCTGCACAAATTACAATCAATGTCACCCGCATATCACATAGCTTTCCAAAGTTTTGTATAAGAATTCTTAAAACCAGTCCAGTAGTTTCAGAGCCTATTTAATTCAAACAAACAATCAAATCTTTTCTCTTTATGTTAATAATATAATAATTTTGTTCCTCTTTGTGTTTTATTTGTGAAAAATCGGTTTTAATTTGGATAAATTAATGTCTATGAATGCAACACATATTTGTATTGTTAGCAAACTTGTAAAATATGAAGGAATAAATTTCTAATGATAAAATAATTGCATCAGGGTGGATTTTTGTACAAAATCTGTGAGTCCAGTTTAGAATAACTTAAAAATGCTTTGACCTCTTTATCCGTTAACTATAATGGTAACCAAGCAATAAAACACCATACATCGCATATGAACGAATGAATGAATGATAATTTTATTTAATAATAAAAATTTCAAAATGTGTATTTTTAATATAAACATGAAATTTTAAAACGGGATGTTCATGTATTACTTATTAAATTTCACTGTGAGCTTTTGTTGATTAGGTGTAAATAATAATAATAATAATACTAAAGTAGAAATACCTTACAATATAAAAATTCATCTTGTGACTTAACTGAACCTTTTAATAACAATTTCACCACCACCTGTGATATCCTTTCTTTTAGATCAATTGACAAAGTTCCAATATTATTATCTTCAGCATTTAGACAGCTTATTATTGACTTCAATGCAATTAAACATATCTGAAGCGGATTTTGAATATTCAACATGTTACTTTTATCCACATTGACAAAATTTAATAAAATTCCATTTGGACCAACCAATTCTTCTGAAAACTGAATAAAAAAAATATTTGAATATCAAGCAAATATGGTTTTAAAATATTTTTTTATATAAAAAAGTACCTACCTTTATGCCTAATTGGGGATTTACTTGTAAGATACATTGCATATTATGAAGTATATCAGGTACAATTATATCTGAACATTTCTTCAAACAAAGTATGTGCCAAGACACTACATTACATAAAAAGTCTAAATCAAATTGTAAATTTTGTTTTGACAAAATACTATTAATCAAATGTGATGCTTTTGCTGCAAGTGACTCATCGGTTGGTTTCACATTTATACACAAGGCTATTATTAAAGTGGAAGCATCCTAAAAAATCAAACATAATTTTTAATTATAAGAATATACCATTTCTCAATATTTCAGGTCAAACTTCAGTATAACCTGAAATACTCACATGTTTAGAGACAAATAATTCGCCTTTATACGGTTTTGCATTGAGTTCGTCTATTAATGAATTAATTTTAGATTTGTTGTAGTCTTTTACATAAAGCAGATTACAAAGCTCACCACATAAAAAAGAGAAACTTTGAGATAAGTTGGAATCCATTTCTTTTTTATTGTGTGTAATGACTAGAAAATAACAATAAATTAAAATATTTCGCAATATTTATAATGCGATGTCTGGTGCCATTCAACTCCACACCTAAATACAAAGAAAATAACAATTAAATTAAACACAAATGTTTTCGAATTTGCGTTTGGGTTTTTGTGTGACATTTGATATGTGACATTGACACACAGACTGCATTGACATCAAAATAAGTACGTTACGTAGTATCTCTTTACTAGTATGTGAAATAAGTGACATACCTACTAAGTCTGTGATTATTACTAAAAGGGATACAAAAAAGATTGATACCCTTAGGTCAATCGATACGTGATTTCTCTTACAAATACTTTGTAGGCGTACCAGTATGGCAAAAACACAAAAGAATCAATCTCGATTTTCGTATGGTAATATTCATGTCAAAGTGAAAATTGCAATAACTAGCAATTACTAATCTTGATACTTAATTTTTTTTTTTAAATAAATAATATATACCTATACGTAGGCTAGTCGACTACTAAAATAAAACGAATTATTAGTGAAGGAAAAGATATGAAGATATTTTGCTAGGCCGGGGAAAAAATAGCAACGGTGAAAAGAAGAAAATAAAATAAACCGCATTTGATTTAGATGCGTAAGGGTAACAGATAGTTGTAATATTGGTAGAGATTAGCAATAAACAATACAGTCACTTATTTATTCTTTATTGCACGGCGGACTTAACGCCTTTAGGCATTCTCTTCCAATTAACCGGAGAGTTACGGACATAGAATTTAGAAGAGCGGTGCAACAAAAAGAAAAATGCAAATCATGTTAAAAAATAAAAATATATCAACACTGATATTATACAAGTCACATTACACTCATTACACAGAGTTTGTGAGTCTGTCTGAACGAAGGTTATAGTCATGGGAAGCACCCAAATATTGAAACTTCCATTTGAAATATCCAGGTGAGCTTGGATCCTTAAAAATAGACATAGGATCTTTAAAAATAGCCATATAAAAAGTATATCTTTTTTTTCTATTCGAGTTAGATTCCGGTTCAGGTAAAATATTATTGGATTTTCTTTGGCGTGTTGGATGCTATCAAATCAAAACATTAGATGATGGTAATATGTATAGTGTACAGGTGTATGTTGTTGCACTATTATGCCTTATTATATCTTACCCGGATTAGTTATCTATGTCTAAATTTGCCAAGTTCGAAATTTTATATATATTTATTTATATTATATTTATTTTTATAAATAAATAATTTTAGTTCTATTAAAAACTGTATATTATTTTAAGAAAAATATATATAACAAAACTAAAATAAACTTAATTTTCATTTGTATTATAAATTTACGATAAGATATGATATTTATCGACATATTTTTTAAACCAGCCCATACCTTCCAAACACCTAATGCTAATGACATTTACACACGGACATTTTTCTTTGAAATCTAGTGCATACAGTCTTATCTTTCATAAATACTCGGTGGAACAGAACGACCGACACTCCCGAGGTTCCTGGAGAGTACTATTTGTCTTTAATATAATGTAAAAAAAATTATAAGTCTAGGTCAAATAGTTTCGGAGATATTAAATTACCAAGTTTTTGAAAAAAAATGAGTGTTTTCAACCCTGAGTCAGCTGTTTTTGGGACGTACTAAGGAAAAGTTTTAAATCGGTCATTGGCTTCTTCATTTCTAAAAACGAAATAAACTAGTTTGTAATTTATAAGACTGCTTTCATGCAAATTTTACCAGACAATCAATAAACAAGGCAGTCAAAATGCTTAAATCGATTGACAGACTAACAGCCGGTTTCTAATTAGAAAAAAGTAGAAAATTTCTACAGCTTATTCTCAATAACCTAAGTTTTTTTAATTTCACAAGTCAAACAGTCCTAGATTTATCAAACTGCTATCAACTGATCATCAAAAAACTAAAATCGGAGGCGAATACTAAGTGATGTTAGTTTGAGACGTTTAACTTTAAATTCTCAATTAAGAAACCGACTGTAAAATTTCCTAAATTATTGTAGAGAGATCAGCCTAACATTTACCTACGTTATTTTAAAAGAGCAGTTCTCCAAAAAAATTGTTTGAATAGGGTAATACTCCATTCTCCATTTAACATCGGGATCGTTAATTAAACTCGATAAACTCGCAAATCTTCCAGCGATTCATCAATAACACAAATGAACTTTGTTTTTAAGATCATTGAGGAATTTGTTATTAAAATAGCATTTAAAAAGAACATTAAAAAATGCGTGATATCAAAAGACGTTCAGCAGTTCTCCAAAAAAATTGTTTGAATAGGGTAGTAGTCCATTCTCCATTTAACAACGGGATCGTTAATTAAACTCGATAAACTCGCAAATCTTCCAGCGATTCATCATTAACACAAATGAACTTTGTTTTAAGATCATTGAGGAATTTGTTATTAAAATAGCATTTAAAAAGAACATTAAAAAATGCGTGATATCAAAAGACGTTCAGCAGTTCTCCAAAAAAATTGTTTGAATAGGGTAGTACTCCATTCTCCATTTAACAACGCGATCGTTGATTAAACTCGATAAACTCGCAAATCTTCCAGCGATTCATCATTAACACAAATGAACTTTGTTTTAAGATCATTGAGGAATTTGTTATTAAAATAGCATTTAAAAAGAACATTAAAAAATGCGTGATATCAAAAGACGTCAAAATAATGTGAACCGAGTTCGTCCCTCGATATCAAAGCCCCACCCGCCCGCCAGCCGCCAGGCGGCTTCATTATTCTGTCGATATTTTCCGGCCGATCAGTCGCCGTCGACCTTTTGCGCTGGAGTGTTGTTGCGCATCGCCGCCGACGCACCGCTGCGAAGCGTCTTTTTTGTCAATTTTTGTATTGTTCTAGTGCATTTTTAATTGAATTTTTGTTAATTAGATACTAGAGTGTTCGTCTTGAGTGTTAAGTTTAGTTTAGTGAAGATTGTGTTTAGTTTTGTGTGAAATGTGATGTGTTTTGCGCGTGCATGCACCGGCATTGAAAAGAGCGTGCTTAGCTCAGTCTTCAGAGAGGAAGTGGACATTTTCAGCATCGACTATCATTGAGATATCGGTAAATAATTAAATTAACTTAATGTATTTCGCGGTTCATTGTAATCTGCACACAATCGATATTGCGCATGCGCGTTATAGGGCTGTTAACACTTAGAAATTGTAAATTTTTACACCATTTTTACACCTCCTCTATTTTTAAATATTTGTCAAATAAAATGAACGTTTGCATGTAACCTAACTTGAAACTTTCGGCTGTGTCGGTCATTTTGTTCCTCCCAGTATTATCAAACACTAATGTCCAAGTGAAAATATGTAATATAAACTATTTTCACCAGGTGATCGCTATTTTATGCTTCTTTATAAAAGATTCTAGAAGACAGATCTCCATGAAGCATACGCCCGTTAGCGGTCTCGCGCTAAATAAATTTACAAATGTCCTTTTCCTGTATGAAAAGCACGCACCATATTATTTGGTATATTATGTTCTATGTAATAATAATGATGAAAGTAGTGGTGGCCACAAGAAAAAAATACCTTTTACCAGTGCATAAATCTAAGCTTTATATTTCATACTGAAATACCTATTCAAACTAATAATTTAATTTTTATTTTTACATTGAGTATAGAAAACTAGTGTTCCTGAGACTTTACCCATATAAATTATAGCACCCACGTATGATGTAGCTTCCCTTTAGATTACATATATATATATCCTATCTAGCTTTCAGCCAGTGGCTTCGCCCGCATGGTCCATATAAACTTCACCCCCTTTTTTAATTATTAAAAATCCCTTCTTAGTGCTCAGTTACATCATAAAAGGAATTCTTGTAAAAAATTTCAAGTTTTTAAGTAGTTCCAGCAGTATATATAAGTCAGTCAGGTTTGCCTTTTATACATTTAAACAAGTAGGTGTAAATAGATGTAATATGACCATCTTACAAGGATCAGTCTTATTTCCGAAGATTACCCCGACAAACAAACAAAAATAGGTAAAAAAACTACCTGTTTAAATAAGCACTAGACTAATATTATTACTATTATATTACATCAGTGACTTGAAAAATGTACATTAAAACGTTATTGCATATGATATAAACCCTTTTTTTTTCTAGTATAAACCACAACAAAACCAAATGAAAACATACATTTACTCTTGGATTTATTTGTTTTTTAAATATAGCCAAAGAGATGCCAAAGAGTATTAAAATAAATTTTATCAATGTCGACATTATTTAATCTAAGACCACCAGTTAAGGAGAAACAAATAACAATCCATCCTTGGGAAAAAACTATTAAGAGTATACATATCCAGGATATTAAATATGCACACAATTCCGTTAAAAATCCTCATTACCCAGAAAAAAAAAGGAAAGCACCCAACGAAGACGTCGTGAAGTTTACTGTTATTGGTGACAGAGTCACAAAAGAGTTTATATATTGTGTCAACCTAGTGAAAGGCTTACACAAATACAGATGGAAGAAATTTGATGTTCCTGAAATAAGAGGTAGCCTTGCGGGGGGTTTCACTAGACGGGCATGCCCACGGGCAACTCTGCAAATATGCCTACCAGATCTCGTTACCATAGATCTGTGCAAAAACTACGATGGTCCTACATTGTCAAGACATACCAGCTCTATACTAAACGAGGCAGGTATGTCTGCAGACTCGTCTGAGGGCATGTCTATCTGTGACTTCACTGCTTTTGTATTTTGCCGCTGTTTATATTTTTTATTTTATACTTTTTAGTTACAAATCGTTGACTTCGTTATAAGATGGTAAATTTTGCAATCTAGTAATTTCATTGAGGGAGTTAATATCGTGGGGATTATTAAGTAACTTACGGTGGTCTAAACTACTGATGATTAGTCCCTCTAGAGACCTAACTCGGCTCAAAGCTAAATATGCTTTGTTTTTTATTTACCAAAAATATTTGTAACTCATGTTTTTTTTTGTTTGTATATCGTTTATATTAGGTTGGCACAAAAGTAATGAGACACACTAGAAAAATCTATAACATTTCCTTTTTAAAATCAATTTTTTCGATAATATTCTAGAATGTTGTAGAACATTCTAGGTACTTCTGGTGTAGGGTTTATAAAGCCACGCTCGCGATTTGTTTAGTCAGTTTGAAGAAAAATGGACGAGCGACAAGTTCGAACACTATACTTATACGAGTACTTGTTAGGCCACAGTGCGTGGGCTGCGGCTGACAATATCAACAATGCATTAGGCGCTGGAAGTACAAGCCATGCGACGGTGTCCCGATGGTTTGACCGTTTTAAATCAGGAGACAGGAGCCTTGAAAGTCAGCTACGCTCAGGGCGACCACCCGCAGTGAATGATGACGATTTGCGCCGCGAACTGCAGTTGAATCCGGATGCTACCACGCGTGCTTTTTGACTGCCTCGAGAAGAAACGCCACCAACTCAACCGAAGCCGAGTCAAAAGAACCGCCGAAAAATTCTGCTTTGCTGTTTCTGGGATGCGCAAGGCATACTGTTTTATGAGCTATTACACAATGAAACTATAAACGCTGACAAATATTCAACCCAGCTTACCAAATTATCTGCCGCTATCAAGAAAAAACGACGAAGACGAGTCAATGTAGTTTTACTGCACGATAACGCTCGACCTCACGTCGCATCTGTGGTTCGCCGGCAGTTGGAGAACTTGGGCTGGGAGACGATACCCCACCCACCTTATTCCCCAGACCTCGCCCCATCAGACTATCATTTGTTTAGAGCCCTAATACAGCATTTGCGGGGTAAACAATTTAATGATTTCTCTCACGTAGAGGCGGAGTTGAACAACTTTTTCGAGGCACAGCCATCAGAGTTCTGGGCAAAAGGCATCCAAACTTTGCCGGATCGTTGGCAAGAAGTCTTAGATACTAATGGTAATTACACCATTGACTAAACTTTTTTTATTGTAATAATAATAAAAAAGTAAAAACTTAAACCAAGTGTCTCATTACTCTGTGCCAACCCGATACTTTAAATAAAAACTTAAATCAATAAGTAAGAAATTTAGCGAGAATGTTTTGTTAAACAACTTTAAATCGTTATATATCCTAAACTATTGTTTATAATGAAAAATGATAAAAGGAACCTAAAGATGATTTTAAAATACCTATTCAACGACACCCTACTTGACATAGTTCAACGATTATTTTCTTTCATTTTCGCTGTGGTAAATTTTCGAGTGTCACTAAAGACTGTTATGTCTTTAGTGACACTCTCAAGGTTAAGACGAATTGATCGACGTAAAAATCTTCAAAATCGGCCTACGCATTTGGTCTCTAGAACGCCACATAGAAACAAACATACATACATACATAGACTGATAAACACATTACCTTACTTTGCGTCGCGCAATCGGGTAAAAAGAAAACGGATACAGTATCCGGCGGATTTAAAAATTACACATTATTGCATATTTAATGCAATTAGCAAACACGAAATTTTCTTTACAATCTACAAAATACAAATTTTAAAAACCAAAATCGCTATTCAATTTCAAGTTAATTGTGAACAAATTAAGTCCAGACAAAACTGTACTGTTATAATTATCGAAAATCTAATTTTCTTTACATTTGTTTTGTAGTAACTGAGCTTACACAGGTTCACTAAAAAATAATTATTTAATTAATTTTCTCATCGTAATCGAAAGTTTAAAAACATTTGATAAAACGTCATCTACATAGAAAATCGTCATAACTTAGTTTTAGACGTTTTACAGGAGAGCATAATAATTATTAAAAATATGTTACCAATTTCAGGTAGTCCTAATGCCACCGGATCTTGAAAATTTAAATAAGTGTTGTAGGACCTATACTATTAAGCCATTTGAATTTTATGAATTTAAATGGATATTGATTTATTTTGTGTTTTCCTGGGTTAAAATCATAACATTTTACAGATACTTTATAAAATAACATCGTATCACAAACATATAACCATAATATCGACAAAAAGTGCATTACTATGTTTTTCCTTGTAGGTATCTAATATATTTTTTTTAGCTGTTTGGGTGGATTGCCTGAATATTGATGACAATACGCTTACTAGTAGTGGATAGTAACAATCGAATGAAATTAGTCAGTAGCTCAGTGGTTAAAGTACCTAGTCGCCCGGATAGCGAAAGATCGTGGGTTCGAATCCCATCTCGGTGTACCTGCGATTGGTGTATTTTTTAAACATTTTTCATTAAGAATAAAAATTTATTTTAAAAAATTAAGTAGGTACCAAATGAAACACCTAAGCATTTCCATAGGAGTAACTTCTGTGGAATGGCCAGAGACATGGCACGGTTTAAAGATCAAGTACGGAGGTATGGCCCACTGCCTTCAGTCACGCGTTGCCGTGCTCATGAATGGCGACTATCTCGGTGGTGAAAACGAGTTGAGGGAACTCATCGAATCTAAATACATTTACCATCTGCAGCTCGATTACTACAAGGAAGCCGTAGCTAATTTCGCTACTTACATAAGATCTTCTGGTGTAAGTCTTAAGTTTAGAATATTCATAATTTATGAAATAGGGATGACGCATAAGTCAAAAAAAAGAAATTCTATTTAATCCGTCAGTCAGATGATAGAAAAATATTAAATGAGTATTTTTTTTACTTCAATTTAACAAGAGATAGCTTAGGTAACAGACATTCAAATTGAGGAGTGGGGGCTCGCTACGTCATAGTTTTATAGAAAAAGTACATAATCGTGACGTCTTGTGATATTGTAACTCAATGTATCGCCGTAATTTAATGATTATGCAAAAAACGAAAAATACGTGTTCAATATTTTTCAACAATCTACTTGACGGACAAACACAAAAATTTGTCGTCATCCCCAGTGGCGTAATTACAGGGTGGCAAGTCGGCAAAATGCCACGGGCCCCCAGCTGAGGGGGCCCCGGTCAGAGGATAGGAAACTCCTTATTCCTGAAATTTATTATTACGCAATTAGTAAAAAAAAAAATTAATATCCGATGAATTTGCCACGGACGTCAAACGGTATAGTTACGCAACTGGTCATCCCTATTATACCTACACGTGCTAGTCAACTTAATATCGCCCTTAAAATTAAAAAAATATGACCTATTTTGTTACCTGATAATACGTACTCAGGAAAAATTGGTAGTCAGTGCGTTAAATTTAATACATATTATGTCCGTAACCGTCTTTTTTTACTCTGCTAATTTTAAATTAGGTTCACTACTTTTTGAGTTTATCCATTAGTAGCTTTCCGCTACGGATTCGCCCGTTTTGTCTCTAGGGAACTGTTTAATTGTAGTTGATATCGATTCATTCACATCTGCCACGAAACAATGGTTACTTTGGTAACGTTTTAATTCCCTACACAAACTTCCACTCCTATTTTCAACGTTTTTATTTGCAGTTTTTAAGATAAAATATAGCATATGTTCACCGCATATGATATAGTTTCTCGTAGGTGAAATATTTTTTATAATCGGTCCAGTAGTTTCGAAGCCTGTTCGATGTAAACAAACAACTAAATCTTTTCTCTTTTTAATATTATTAGTATAAACAAACGAAAAAAATGAAGTCTTTCCTCATATTTCATTAATACCTATATTGTATCTACAGAAATAGATTTCTTACTATCTGAGACTGAGTATTCACGGAGCGATATTTGAGATGGCGTGAGAGTTGCCTTGTTTAAAAACTTGTGGTAAAATTTAACTCACCACGCTAACATCGCTACAATAAAGGACAGCAAAGTAAATGCTTCAAGATGTACGATTAGTCACTAGATGGCGCCACGATACCAGCATTGCACTAACAAAGTTTCGCCGCAACTTAATATAATATAAAACTTCCACCCTACATCGTTTGGATCATGGTCCTCAAGCTACAAACGCCCAGCTCAGAGGGAAATAATTTCCCTTTAATCTCCCTTACCAGTTGGTACATTAAAATGGACCATAACCAGTTACGTTTATATTTACCGGCACCCGCCAACCAGCCGCAGATTGCATGGAAGATTTACGCCGTGAATTTTCAATCTTATTTTCAATATTGTTAGATTTACGTGATCATGTTCTATAAAATAATAATAAAACTTTCGTTATTGTTTAGTATTTATTACTAAAACATCAAAAATAACTCTTTAAATATATTACAAAGTTTTAACACTAATTTTTGACGTTATTTCAGAGACCTTGCGCATACATGCATATATCCATTAATAAAGAACACATCGGCTCCATGATTTTTATGGTAAGTGGTCGTGTTTTTTTTTATTATTCATGAACCCATTTAGTAACAAACAAGAGATTTGACTAAATTTACTATTTTTCAGTTGTACTCTGATCTATTGCCTTACACTTGCGACAACTTCTTGCGTCTCTGCAATCAAACAAAGGGTGGCTACGCTGGCACTCCTATACATCGCATCATCAAAGATGGATGGATTCAATGCGGCGGATTCGGCCTCAAGAATGTTGACTTGGACTGCGAAAACTTTATGGTCCCACATGATAGACGAGGCGTACTTTGTATGGCGAACGACGGCAGGTCGTTTCACAGTAGAACAACAATAGAAAACATTGATAACATCACAAATACTCGTATTTAGATAATATCCATGACTATCTAAGGTATAATAGTATCTCAACAACGAATTTCCACAGCCTCTTCCACCTAATCACCTACTTACTTGGTCAGGAATTGATCTTAAGACCTCGCAGATGAAGATACTGTGAAAACAGCCATATAACTTAGTGTTTTAAAAATGAGCTCTATATTTACTTGTTAGTAGTTTTGATTTTTGACTGTGAGAGATACACACAAAACAAAAATGAAATTTTTAAATACGATTAGCTCAAAAGTAACCTAAATCGAGTTCTCATAGCTACAGCAGTATTATACCACGGAGATCATCGTTACGTCGTCTTACATTAGACTTAGGTGCCTGACGTCTCACATTTATATGCGGAATAGAACGAAAAAATATACGGCGAACAGCTCAAAATATTGGTTTTGTTATTTAGAGGGATAAATTACGATATCCTTTTAGTATTCATGGAATACCTGTTGGTTACTTTTAGGGGAAACGTTAGTTCGTACGAACTATTCTGAAATCCTTTTAATATGTTGGAAAAAACACACATGCATATTCCACACAAACTCCAGAGTCGTGGCTACCACAATATCAGCCGTATTATTAATACGGAGTCCCCGGGTTACAAGAACCCCTCCCCCCCCCTCTAGCGTATGTGAGAAAAAAATATTTAATTGCCACTTGGACATCTCAAAATCCCAACTAATCTTGATACAGGACCACACTAAAGCACACTACGCTACTGTTCTGAATGAAATATTGTTCAAATCTAATATTAGCAAACTTTAACTTACAGGCACGTGGACTGCTCGACTCAGTTTTTTATACTATTGCAACCTGCACCTTGGATGGCACATAAATACGTGGCTTTCGGTCAACTCATTGAAGGTGAAAAAACACTGGATAGGATTGAACGTGAGCCTACATGGTACGAATCTCCGACATCCGAAATAATTATATACAGAGCTGGTATATTAAATATGGAATGCGACGGTATCACAGTAAATAAAGGTACTAATGAGTATATCCATGGACATATAGAAGACTTATACGCTTTGGGTGAAGTACTTATAGAAGTAAGTGTACATTCTGTTGCAATGTTGCCCATATAGATACTATTTCAATGTTGCCCAACATTTTTCAAATGTTTTAGGCTTTAATCGAAAGAGTATTTCTGGAAGTTGAGTTAAAACTAGTGCAGCGTTTAGAAAAGGAGCTCTTAGGAGAAGAGGAGGAAACAGTAGAAGAGGGAGCTAAAGGAGAAAGTGGAAACATTCACCGTACAAAAAGGTGTAAAACATAACAGTTTCAAGGCGTTTTTATTAATGCACAGCTTCTCAACTGTTGCGCCGCCATAAGCGCACTAAGTAATACTACTACTGTACCATAAACGGTCTTCTAAATATTCTAAATACTAATGACATTAATAAGATTAATGTATTAAAATTTACTTCCTCCGTAACTTATCCTGGTTTTAATCCATATAAAAACAAGCACTTCCAAACAAATATAAAAAAATACATAATATTTTAGGTTTATTCGCACTAAACCGGCATCAGAAACCGGAGCTCAGATTACAAATCCGCCTACCCGTAGTCAGTCTATTAAAAATGCGACAAGTTCCAAAGTTGTACCATTATCGAGTAAAGATAGCGAACAGGAAAACAACGAATTTGACGTAGAAGAATATGAACTAGAAGAAAGTGTTTACCGTCACATGTCTATAGTAACAGAAAGTCTGGTTGTGAAACCAGAAAAACATTACTACATACCACTAACTGATGTACCGTACCCAGGAGAAAAGGACTCGACATATGACTTGAAAAAGTAAGTACTTTTCTGTATCTATTCTATATTGTTTTATGAATTCTTAAATATTAAGTGGTTTTATTCTTTTGAATGTCAACTCCATCATATTTACCATAGATTTTGAATCTAAACTAATTTTATAACGACATTTTACTAGAGATTTTTAATAATATTAATAATTTTATTAATAATATTTATAAAATAATATTTCTAAAGGTTATCTGAAGACCACCTTTATCTAAAGATAAACTGTATATTGAAATATATATAAAAAATTACATGTTTTTTTATGCAATTATAGACTTGGCTCTGCTAAAATATTTTGAATCAATTCAATTTCTTAAACATTTTATTTAAATTCTGAACTTTAATTATTTGATCGTTAGAAATCAGTACCTAACAAAAATGCCCCCGATTTTAAGGAGTTTCTTATGACATTGGCACAATTACACTCTTTAATCGGTGTAACTTTCAAATGCTTCGCCTAGGGCGCCAAGTTTTATTATGACGGCGCTCGATACTTTTACCTAACTCCCATGTTTTTCTATTAATAAATAAACATTGCTGATGTAACCAAAGTTCAGAGACGGGCCAACATTGGCATTCTCATATGATGCCTAATTAAATATTCAATATTATTTGTTAACTAGATTTTTGAAAGGAGACTACTGCCTAGAAAGCGACATTGATCATGAGAGACAAAAAACAGCCCCCAAAGACAAGTTCGAATATCCATCGGAAGTGTTCAAATTATCTAATGATGTCTCAGAATCAACGTCCTGTAAGTCTTTTTATTTTTTATTAAAAGTCGGTTGGACTTGAATTAAAAATATTTAAATCTGTACGGTTTTCGCATTACTTGTACGTACACGCAGGTTGATGGTTTTCAATATTCTAAACAACAACTAACTACCTAACTACTATACTAAACATGAAAATTAAAAAACAACACACAAAGGAAAAATAATTATGCACTTATAACAATTTTTTCTTTCTACTCCCTAATTCCCCCTTTTTGATTTGATTCCATCTTTAGGTAAAGCCTGAGCCCCAGCAGTGGGATAAGTAGTTAAGCTGATGATGAACAATTCTTTAAACATTTGAGAGATTTTATTTTCTTTAAATCATTCTCAATAAAACTAAATTCACAGCTCAATCATTGGACTCTGAAGAAGAAAAAGAAATTCGTGATTATCTAAGGTAGGTATGATATTAACATAATTATATTACGATTTATTTACCTGGCGAATTATACCGTGCTTGGCAATACTTATCAGTGGCGTCTGTTTCAACTGCGTCTAATGTGGCAAGTGTCATTTTTAAATATTTTGGTTTTTGTTAGGTAAGTATCGGTCGGAGCAAATCTGACGGAAGATTCGTCAAGCGTCTCATGGAAATATAAACGGTGGTTCATCCGTCGATTGTGCAGTCGATTGTTGCAGGTTGAATGACATTATTTCGTCGGAGATAGTGCAATGCCGGGTAATAGGCTAGTTGACAACTTTTTTTTATATTTTTCAGTATAGCATTGTGAATGTGAAATTGATCAAATATAATGTTTTTATTTTATAAGTAATTAGTAGACCATTGTACTCGTAGTAGACATACCTACTTGAGAAATAATGTAGAAGTAACATCATATCTGTGATTAATAGTTTCAAAGTTACGGTGCTTTGTGAAACTGCTGATAGTCGGCCGAAAACGGTCCCTACAAATTCAAGGCATTAAGTAACGTCACACAATGCGTATGGGCCTGTGCAATGTGTGCAATCTTTGTTATTTGTGTGTTTATGTTTATAGCGCTTATAATGTAAGTTGTAACGTTTTATGTAACCAATTTAATGCCATATGTATTTTGTTAAATGTCTATAAATTAAAATGGTTCATATTTTCCGAACATATAACATATTTATTTGCATTTCTAGAACACAAGCCTATTCACTTACCTGTTATCGAGAGAAGTAATTACTTAAGTATATATAATTTAAGTAATGTAATCGAGATCGAGATATAATAATAATGTAATCGAGAGAAGTAATTTCTTGAGTATATATATCATAATTTAAGCAAATATTTTATTCAAATTCTATACGACTAACTATTGGTTAAAAACATATTCTTAAGTTATGACATTTTCTAAAGAAAATTATACTATAAGTGTTAAAATCAGCTCTTGATTGCAAGAGTTAGTTACGCGGTATTGCACTATTCCCGCCGATTTGTCAGCACTGACGTTCCGCAACAGACGTTAGGCGACGCATCTGTCATCATATACGCTCCGATGTTAAGTTTTAATAAAGCTTTTAACTTCAGGCCCGTATCTAGGGGGAGCGTTAGAGGGGCGCCAAAATCATCATCAATAATATCTATTTACAGTTAAAGAAGAGTAAGCTTTAAAAATCTCATCATATACATTATATGGACGAATGGACGCGGTTTTAAAGACGCGTTTTTGGGGATTTTAAAGCATGTACGAATGGACGGACATGCTTAAAAATCGCTAATTAAATAAAGAAAAAAAATATTATATACTTCAAAAATATGATAGGTAGAGGAAGAGCGTCATAAGAAGTTTCTGCACCCGTTAAAAACAAATCGTAGATCTTGGTTTATATTAGATCTGAAAAGACAGATAAATATTCAAAATGACTTATTTATTGTGGGGATAAATAACTATTTACCACAATAACTATTTTCGAATGAATTATATGCCTACATTTCATGGTTTTATTGTATATAATTTTATCGTTACCCCCGTTCCTGACACTAGTGGTTTAAAAAATAAGTACCATTGCATTCCCAAAAACTAACGAAATAATCGCCCGTTTTCACTAACCTATAACAAGCCATAACTTAACTAGGAAAACCCCTAATCTTACGAATCGCCTAAGCAAATGAGTTTAATTCCAAATAAACATAATTTCTTTCATCCCTGTCATATTACGGAACTGCCTAGCGCAAGGCAACGAATAACACATAACTTTCCTAACTTTAGACATTACTTAAGGCTCTCTCACCTCCGCTTAGATTCTCACATATATGCAAACGAATACGCATCAATAGTAAAGTCACGCTGGCTGGCTACTACTACATAAATACATATGTATGAAATAATCACAAAAAAAAAACAAATTCGATAAAAATAAGTCTTTTGATTATTGATATTTATGTTTCTGTTCTTAGTAAGCATATAGTTTCATTTTCATAAAATTATAAATCATTTTTTGACCAGTATTAGCATAGCCTTGGAATAAAGTTGTTTTAAAAGTGGTAATTTCGTATAATCTCATGTCTTAATATCGTTAGGTGGTTCCTTGTCATTGGTGAAATGCATTTTCACTTTAGGCGCTTCCATAATATTTAGGCGACAGATTTGGGAGACTCCTAGAGAAAACGGGCTAAATTTTCATTTTATATAATAATTGTTTTTATAGAAGCAACGCTGATCAAGTGAGTTTTGCCGGTCGGATAATAAAAAGCATTGCTAGAGGTTACGACACAGGCAACTTGTTCGATAAAACAGAAAAGTAAGTACAATATTGCTGTTTCTTTTAACTTTTATGATATCTTTATATAAAAATAGACTATGCTAAAGTTAGACGACCGCTGTGGCTAAGTGGCTCGCAAGCGGATGCAAGGTATCGCTATCGTTCGATACCCGATCGGGTATAAAATGTACTGTCTATATTGTCTTGTCACAAGTGATCTGTCACTTTATGTGGGATTTGAGGAATATATATGATGTCATATTATGATTATTATTATAGTACATACAGTAACATAACATTTTATAGTTAAAATAATAAAAAGCACCGTTAACTAATATTTAACACACAATTAACTAATATTTGAAATGTTTTTATTTCACTAGTAATACACTCTCTGTGGAAGTCATCCATGATCGATCGAACATATCTCGCTCGTATATCATTATATGGCCTCTTTGGGGTCTCAGTTTCACTGTAACGAATGAATGTTGACAAACATAAATTATTTGTGTTTAGAATTATTTAAAAAAACAGGGTCGGGCGACCCACGTTGGGCGCCAATATATTATTATAATTTGTAACTTTAGGAAAGTTATTCAAATCATGGTATCCACTTTCATAGCGAATCCAATCAATTTAAAGGATGCGATTTTCAATTTTGTGGGTTACACCATTTGAGTCCATCCATCCAAGGCCTGTGTCCCAGTAATACCCACTACTGAGGCAAAAGGCAAAAAAGAAAAAGCATACCAAGACAGGACGATAGTCAAAAGTGTACGACCCATTCCAATGTCTGCCGCGACCCGCTGCCTTTACAGCAAGGGCAGCCCATTCACATAGAAAAAATACAAAATAAAAGTAAAAAAATTTCAGACCCAAAATTCCTTTGTCATTAGCAAAATTACAATCTTTAATAGGTGTAAAAAAAACATTCCAGTGTTTGTCTAGGGCACAAAGTTTCATTGACTCGACACAGGAGGCGCCACCCGAGGTTATGGGTCGCTGCGTCTATGTTTTATATTGAATATTATAACGTTAAGTGGATAGGTAAGAGCCGCAGCCCGCAATCGCTGTTGTTAAGCGATTGCGGGCTCCTCCATGCTTCGGAAGGCAAGTTAAGCCCTCTAATCCGCGTTGGGCCAGCGTGGAGGGCCATAGCACATCCAACTTAACCATCCATAAGGAAGGCCTGAGCCACAGCAGTAGGGACGTAAAAGGGCTGATGAATAAATGAATGATGAGAGTATAACAGCCTTGCGACGTGAAAATATGGATAGACAGAGTAGAGCATAACAGATACTAGTCCTCATATGTGAAGTTTTTTTTTAGAAATGCGCCTAATCATTATTTCGCCGACTAATGGAATACCGAGTTCTATTCGATTTAATCTTAACCAAACGGTTATTCAGCCGAATTAACGGACTTACCATTTCATTGTTAAGTTGAAGTTTAATTGCTTTATTTTATAAGCTTTATTGAACACATTCTTCATAAGATTTCTTATGAAGAATATATAAATCTTACATAAAAAGTTTTGTCTTTTAGTATTAAACCGTGTCGTGTAGCTAAGAAAATAGAAATACTTGAACCGAATATATTCGGGACCAAAACCAAAGGAATATTCTACGTATCTCAAATATTTTCACTTTTTAGCAAAATTTTTAAATGTATATGTATTTTTTATTTCCAGACCTACTCAAATCACCGAGAATCAGCTAAGAAGAGTCAGGTTGGTTAACAATAACATACCTACACAATTACAACTTTAACTAACCATGCTTTTTGCTAATCACTCACAACTATTCTTACTAAAAAAAATATATTTACAGATTAGCTTCATTAGATTATAAATCTGCAGTACAAGATACGTAAGTGTTACATTGCAATTTTATTTTACCAATTTACCACTTTAAAGCACAATAATGTACAAGTTCTTCAAAACATGTTCTCTTTAGAAAAGTGAAAATCGACATCTCTTCGGCTCATTCAACACATAAAAAAATAAAAAGAAGACAAACGGGTTTCGTTCACCAAGCAGTAATTGACAAATCGGAATCTGCAATGTCGGTAGAAGAAGATGAATTTTCAAGGCTAGTAAAATAAATGTATTATTGTTTCTTGATCATTCGTAACGAAACCGATTGCGACTTAATAAGTTACATAATACATAATTCAAGTTACATAATCAATCCCTTTCAATTTCACTTTTAAAAGATATTCACAAACTTCGCGCAGCAACTATTTGACGAATGATAAGCGTTTGCGACATTTTTTTATGAAAGATAATATAATTAATGAACGATATCTTTAATAGGAATTTTCTTCTTAACTTCTTAAGTTTATATCCATCACCAGCCCTTTTACGTCCCCACTGCAGGGGCTCAGGCCTTCCTTATGGATGGTTAAGGAGGATGGGCCATAACCCTCCACGCTGGCCCAATGCGGATTGGAGGGTATTAACGACTGCAAATGCAGCCGGGACCAACGGCTTAACGTGCTTTCCGAAGCACGGAGTAGCTCGAGATACTAATTTTTTGGTCACCCATCCCGTGACCGACCCTTGCGAAAGTTGCTTAACGACTACGATCGCGGGCCGCGGCGCTTATCCACTACGCCACCGAGCTACTCAAGTTTATATTACTTAGTTTTTATTATGTATTTGATTATTCAAATCATCATTTGTTCCGAAAGCAATCGCATCACAAACGTTACATAATAGGGATGACGACTGGGTAAAAAAAAATACAATTCTATTTAGTCCGTCAGTCAGATAATAGAAAAATATTATATACGTATTTTTTTACTTCAATTTGACGAGAAACAGCTTAGATAACAGGCATTAAAGTTGAGGAGTGGGGGCTCGTTACGTCACAGTTTAGTAGAAAACGTACCATAACGTGACGTCATGCGAAATTTCAAGTCCATGTATCGTCGTAATTTTATGATTACGCTAAAAATCAAAAAAATATGTGTTCAATATTTTTAACACTACCTGACGGACAAACAAACAAAAATTAGTCGTCATCCATTCCGTAATTCGCTATCACATACGCTATTAGGCCCCCGGAACTATTATGGTCCCTAACTACTCATGTCTACTTTTCATGTTGTAGGAAAGTGCGTATTGCTGCATCAGCTACAGTCCCGCCTCCTCCTGGGCATCACACTGTTTCCGGTCGCCGTCCAACTGGGTTTATCCGGATGATGGACATTGTAGATTCAGACTCCGATGATTTGAAAGAGCAAGATCACCGCGACTCATTCAGACCTTCCATAATGCAACGATTGTACGAAAGTAACCGTTTAGAAGAATACGAGCCCACTTTAAAGGGTTACAAGTAGGTTGAATGTCTACTTATACTTTTAACTTTAGCCAATGAGATGAGCGCGCAGAGATCGCTCGCACTACGAGTTGAACATCCGACCAGTGTAAATATGCCTTTAGAGATGACAACATCAAAATTTGTTGAGCTTATTACGGTCTGAACAACACAAAAGGGTGGTGTGACTTTGTGTAATAAAACAAATAAAAGGAAAAAATATTATTTCTTACTTTACGCACAATAGTAGAATGGCGGACTTAGTGAGCACTCTCTACCAGCCAAACTTTGAATGATGGGGAGATAAAACTAATAGATAGGTACTTACATATCATTATGGGAATATAACACATATTAAAAAGAGGATAATTTTGATTGTTTGTTTGATTGCATTGAATAGGCTCTAACTGAACTGGTTTTTTTTAAATTTTTCACTTACGGGAAGTTAGAAAAAAAGCGGTCCACTGCGAGTCGGACTCGCGCATGAATGGTTCCGAACCATTATCCAAGTAAAAAAATTACGTTTGTTGTTGTCTGTGTTGCTCGAAATTTTTAAGTTAGATACTTGTAAAACCAACTTAAGTGTAATAGTTTTTCTTTTACCTTCGTCATATATAGGTACTACTGCAGTAAGGTTTGAATTTTTACCAACGACCGTTTAGTTGGCAGAGGGGTGGACACTTGACTCTAACGAAAATTAGCTCTTTAAAGCTTAATAAGTCACAAATGGTTGACTAAATCGAGAAACGGCATTCCCACACTCCAATGTTTTTAAAAGACCTACCTATAGCAGGGGAGCCCACGATGCTAAATCGGGATTTACTCGAGCGTCATAGAGACCTATCGGGTTGCGAAGCTTAGATGATAACAAAAAAAAAATTTCATATAATATATACCTTTTCATCGGTGGGGGAAGCGGCTATAGATTTTTAAAAATGTAAAAAAAGACTGTTGTATGGACATACTCGAACGCGTCAGATATTAATATCATCCATGTCCTACGCATTTTTAAAAACTGTCGTATGGTAATCTGATCGTTTCCATGATGGGGGTGGTTATACGTAAGGGTTGAAAATGAAAAAAAAATTAATCGAGCGCGTCAGATTTTTTGAGGGAATGTCAAGTAAACCTAAAAAAAGCTCTCATATAATAATCTGACGATTTGGATGTGACGCAAACGCGTGACCATTATTAGAATGTGCAAAAAAAAAATCGCCATTTTGAAATACTCAAGCGCGTCAGATTAAGATATATATGGTTCATCTTTATGCCCCAGACGTGATATCTCATAATCTGACGATTATCTGAAGGGATTTACTTAAACTGACACAAAAAATTTTTTTTTTTATTTTTTTCAAATCATTGAGCTTAATTAAATAGAAAATCACCGGAGTTAGCATGCAGATAAAAAAGTGTATGTTTTTTTTATGTAAAATACTTATATTTATAAGAAAATGATTATATGAAAATTTAATTTTTACAGTATTTTTTATTAATTATCATCTTCATCGCTAGAATCACCTTCCTCTTCTTCTCTTAGTAAATATGTAAAAGTTTAATTCACAAAATTTACATTAAAATAACAAAATAAGCAAAAACGTTGGAAATACGATGTAAACAATATCACGCCACGAACGAGTCTGTGTCATCAGTTCGTCCTTGCCGGGCGGCCATTTTTATAGGGCTCATACTTGCTCCAGGTACTTAACTGGGTACAAGGTATCCCCCTGTATATTAATCTGCCGCGCTTTAGTAAATCCCGAAATCCCCGCTTGGGCTCCCCTACTACTAACGATACCAATTCAGCTAATATATACGTAATAGTCCCATCTCAATCGAATATCATGGACTAGCATTTTAAGATTCAACTATCTACCTAAAGCCCAATATTGTTAGTGCAATGTCTTCCTCGCACATTCATGGTGACAGATCTACACTAATATTATAAAGAGGAAAACTTTGTTTGTATATTTGTTTGTTTGTAATGAATAGGCTCAAAAACTACTGGACCGAATTTAAAAATTCTTTCACCATACGAAAGCTACATTATCCTCGAGTAACATAGGCTATATTTTATTTTGGAAAAAAAATTGGGGTTTCGTAAGATATTTAGGTTTTTCGGACATAAGGTGTAAAAAATGAACCAGAAAAGTTACTTATTTTGCTTACGCTGCCTAAACTATAAAAGATAGAAAAATGTTCTAAGTAATTGTAGATCTTATAAATATTAACAAAAAAGTCCGCGACACACTACACAAGGCACAACAACCATTTTTTTAACTAAAAATCTTGAATTGCGGAGCGTGCGTTACGGGAGTTTAGATCTATGAGTAAGGTACCAGCGGACCACGCAGTAGTATATAATATTGAACTTCAGATAGATAGTACAACAGCAAATTGCATATGCGATTATTACGTAAACCAGAATTAACCTGCAGCTTGTCTAGTAGAATACATACGAGTCTTTGCTAAAATATATTTATTATAATAACGTGACATAACATAATTTTCAGATCCCAAGGTGATGCCCAGGACAAAGTAACGATGCTCACATATTCACAATATTCCGGCATGAAGAGTGACGAAAGCTTAAGCAATAAATTAGTCATGAGAAAGCCTCAAGTTACAAATGTATTAAACGACAATGCACTCAACGTCCAACATAATAAGAAGTTAGTGAGGAAAATTTCATCGGATTACGTAAAAACATTCAATCAGGGGTATAATAAAATTGAGAGTTCAATTAGAAGCATCGAGTATGCGAAGACAAGACCTTCTATGACGGTATCAGAGTATCAGCTGAAGAATCAAATGTATGAGGATTTGAAAAATGAAATTGATAAGGAAGTTAGAGAAGATTTAACCATTGCAAATGGTAAGCTCTCACTTCATTTCAAATACAGATCTCTATTGTTAATTTTTTTCACTAAAGTACTACAACGTTACCTCTTGAATCACCTAGGTACTACCTAATAAGTTTTCTTTTAACATTCTCAGATTCTATGAAATCAAGAGGAATACGCCTTCCCGGAGATTCGCCGCTTTATTCTGACTCAATGTCATCTTCACTTGGATCGGTATTTTTTCACAATCTCTCCGCATTTAATTCGCAATATCAAAACACCAATCTTGTGTCTCCAACTTTGAGGTTCCGGGTTCGATTCCCGGTCTGGTCAATGTAGAAAATACTTGTCTCAAATACCCGAGGCTTTAGCTATTCAACCTGGATTCTGAGTAATGTATAAGATGTTGTCTAATATATATTAGACAAGATATTCCAGCGCCTTACCTCCGCACTGAGTAATGTATACATATAGTACTTCAACATACTGAAATATCAAGCTTTAGAAAGCTATTGCACATTTTTGTCACGAGCTCCCAGTCTATTAATGAGATGCGATTGCTTCATATCAGAGATATAGAGCAGGGGGCCAATTCTACTAAATAAATTTTGTTTAAATTGAAACGAAAACGGATCGAAACCGAACGAAACTACAGTTTTAAATGGTTTTCCTATTCTAGAAAGATACAATTCTGGACCTGAAAAGCATTAGGTCGGATGTATAAAAACTGTATAAAAACAGAAATAGCTAAATGCAATCAAAATATTTGAAAAAGTCGTCTGATCCGACTTTATGCATGACTGTTGCTCATGAGTAAAAAGGCACAAACATACAAGAGTTAATTTGCCGGAAAGAGAAAAAAGAGTGTAGCAACGTTATGGCGATAAGTGATTTTAGCTGGTTCTGCACATCCGACCTAATGCTTTTCAGGTCCAGAATTCCAGTTCTATTTTATCTGGAATCTAAATTAAAATCCGCTTTATTTTATGTTCTTCTTCTCACCGTTCCTATTAGTAGGGGAGCCCACGATGCTAAATCGGGATTTACTCGAGCGTCATAGAGACCTATTGGGTTGCGAAGCTTAGATGATAACAAAAAAAAATCCATATAATATATACCTTTTCATCGGTGGGGGAAGCGGCTATAGATTTTAAAAAATGTAAAAAAAACTGTTGTATGGACATACTCGAGCGCGTCAGATATTAATATCATCCATGTCCTACGCATTTTTAAAAACTGTCGTATGTTAATCTGATCGTTTCCATGATGGGGGTGGTTATACGTAAGGGTTGAAAATGAAAATAAAAATAATTTAATCGAGCGCGTCAGATTTTTTGAGGGGATGTCAAGTGAACCTAAAAAAAAGCTCTCTTATAATAATCTGACGATTTGGATGTGACGCAAACGCGTGACCATTATTAGAATGTGCAAAAAAAAATCGCCATTTTGAAATACTCAAGCGCGTCAGATTTAGATATATATGGTTCATCTTTATGCCCCAGACGTGATATCTCATAATCTGACGATTATCTGAAGGGATTTACTTAAACTGACACAAAAAATTTTTTTTTTTAATTTTTTCAAATCATTGAGCTTAATTAAATAGAAAAGCACCGGCGTTAGCATGCAAATAAAAAATTGTATGATTTTTATGTAAAATACTTATATTTATAAGAAAATGATTATATGAAAATTTAATTTTTACAGTATTTTTTATTAATTATCATCTTCATCGCTAGAATCATCTTCCTCTTCTTCTCTTAGTAAATATGTAAAAAGTTTAATCCACAAAATTTACATTAAAATAAGCAAAAACGTTGGAAATACGATGTAAACAATATCATGCCACGAACAAGTCTGTGTCATCAGCTGTCATGGCGTCATGGCAACCGAAACTAGAGTGGGGACGGAATGATAGACAGAAAAAGAGAGAGAAATAGTGATGCGGTGAAGGAAATATAGGTATCACGTAGCTAAAACGCATTAAATCTTATCGATGAATTTTTATTACTTCGGCTTGTGACAATCGTCAGATTATATATTTTTCGTAATCGTTGTATGATACCCTTCAAAATAAAAAAATAAAAATAGCCACGCTCGAGAATGTCAAAGGAACGTTTTTTTTACAACTTTGTAGCCTTCCCCCTTCTTTACGTCACTCTCAAATTGTCAGATTAGAGGTATGTACACATTTTAGCATGTAACTAGCTCACCTTACCTTAATCTGACGCGCTCGAGATTTTTAGATGATAAATTTTTTTTTACTAATCTGATCCTTCGTCCTTGCCGGGCGGCCATTTTTATAGGGCTCATACTTGGTCCAGGTACTTAACTGGGTACAAGGTATCCCCCTGCTTTAGTAAATCCCGAAATCCTCGCTTGGGCTCCCCTACTATATTTTCCCCGGCGTAAAAAAACTATTTTCATTATTCTCCTTTCACTAAATTAATTCTTTAGAAAAAAATAAAGTATCAAAACTAGTAATTGCTAGTTATTGGTCAATTCATAAACACACTTTAAAATATAAAAAAATTACAGATTATTATTTTTAGACAAGACTCCCAAATGTTGAACTGGTTGTAGTTTAAGGTAGTCAATAAGCAAACAAAAAATTAACTAGGAGTTGACAACTTTTTTTTATGTTTTTAATTTAAAGATAATGGCCTGAGATATCAATGGCTTTTTGGGCATTTTAACAAAATAAATTTCACAAATATTCAGCACAATTTACAATTTAGCTTGACAGTTGTCAATAGTTTACAATTTATATTGCCATATGAAAATCGATATTTATTCTTGTTATTATGTGCTTGTTATTCTTGTTACTCTGGTACACCTATAATATTTTTATTTCAGATTCAAGAAAATTTAATAGAAGAGTAACTTTTTACTTAATGAATGTACCTTTACGATTTTGAGACTACTATTTTTTCCCAATTTCCTTTAGTTTATTTGTTGCAATAAAATTTTAAAATCATTTGTTTTTTTTTTAATAAAAAAGAAGAAAGCTTTTATATATAAAAAGTTTTATTAACACTGAGTTAACACAAATAATTTCCCGTCACGTCTTATAATTATCTATACAATACAGTAAACTATCACAATGCCACTTATATACACATCACCATATTGCACTCAAATCTAACGTATTTCATAAACTCGTCTAATACAGGTGTTGTCGAATTCGACGCCGTTTAATTTTGCTATGGCAATCAGAATCGACACGACGACAGATCCACTCGTGGCGAGATCTCCCCGCCGACTAGCACCGTCACTCTTTAGTCTATGTAATATTCTAGAAGTGTCCATGGCCATGGCCGAAGGTATTTCCGCCGTTCTGTTGGTTGGCCTGGCTACGGTTATTGTTGCCTTCTGTGCTATTTTCTAGTGCATCATTGTTTCTATTTTCTAATTGTTGCTGCCACATGGATGCGTAGAAACCTCCTTGGGCCAACAGTGCTTCGTGGCTGTAAATTAATTTATTAATTTGAATTCAATTAGATTTAATATAAATTAATGTATAGTAGCCAGCACGTAGATACTACGAGAGAATAAATATCTCCCATCGATTTAAAACCTTAATCTTTTAAAGATAAAGTTCAAACGTAAACGTTGCCATAAATTTTTTTTTTTTGTATTGTGATGTGACAAATAAGTATTAGTTTGAAGGTAACTATACTCTTAATTAAAAAGACAATCAACACGCTAGTCTAATGTGAACACGGAACCTGTAAAGGGTTTGAAACACCAATCAAACTAAATACAATCGCGACGAAACCATTTAAAAGTTGCTTCATTTATAGACAGTGCGCGTGAAAATATAAGAAATCAATGTTAAGCTTATCTCTCTTTAGTTTATAATACACCAGTAAAACATAGTGATAAAACAAAATCCTGGCATAACCAGAATCAATCAAGTACATTATTGCATCATAAAATTAAAATTATTAACTAACACGGCTGAATGAACAAAGTCCCTTTGCATTATGAGGGAGTGATTACAAGAGTATCGCAATTTTATAAAGAATACTAGAACAGACATTCTTCAAATATAAAATCGTTTAGATTTCAAGCATTATAGAAAACTGTGCGATTAAAACTAAAGCAGCTAAATTGAATTAATTCTGTAGACGTCAAAGAGCTACCTTATTCTTCACATATCCTATACTACTACTATCATAAATGTGAAAGTTTTTGATTATGTATGTATATATGTATGTTACTCTTTCACGCAAACACTTCTAAACGAGTTTTGATGGTATAAAAATAATTCTAAAGCCTGGATAAACGTAAGGGTTACTTTTTATACCACTAAATAAATATTTACTAAATATGTACTTACTATGAAACAACGGATAATGAATACCCAAGGAATGAAAGTACCATCAAGGAAACAAGTAAACAGAAATCTAGTAAGATTATATTTTGATAATAATATTAATAAATCATGCAATAATACTCACTGTCCTCTCTCGATAATTTCCCCGTCTTTCAACACTAAGATTTCGTCTGCATGAATTATTGTTGATAGTCTATGCGCTATTATCAGCGTAGTCCTATTAGCGCATACTCGAGCTAACGCCGCCTGGAATGTAACGCGTCATCAGCGTCAATCCAATCATTAAAATGAACTCGTCCTAATTGAATGAATGATGACTCATGACTGAATCATCATCTCCGCCCAGTCATAGAATGGGTGACAAAAAATTGATGAAATGCAAAAAAAAATTATCTCAAGTTCCTCCGCGCATGGTGGGTTATGTCCTAGCAGTGAGGCAAAGCAGTGGGATAAAAGTTCAAAACTATATGTATATCGATAAGAATCTAGTAATACAGTTATGAACGCCCCAACTAACACTTGCAAAAACAATTCGAGATAGGTAAAAATAAGTTTCCAGTCAAATAAAATAAGACAAAACTATTAGTTACATAAATTGACCTTTTTGTTTGTACGTGACTGTACCTACTTTGTAAGACCAAGCGTGCTTACCACAACGGCAACTAGTTTATTCTAAATTATTCATGCGATTACCACCGCTTATATCTACATAATAAAATTGAGATCAAAATACTATCTTAAGGGGAGTGTTTTTAGAACTAGACTTCTAAGAACCACTACTTGGTGGCGGGTGTTTGGTAATGAATTTTTTATATTATCTCTCGTCTGGGTGTTGTGTTTTTGTCCCAAAAGCATGTGCTTTCAGTACATAATTTGGGATCCAAAAAATGTATGTGATATTATCATTTTTTTTTTTCGATTTTTATTAATTACTGACTATCAATTTCCGTGTTACCTGAATATTTCGCTCAGTATTAGTATCTAATGCGGATGTAGCTTCATCCAATAAAACTATAGCTGGGTCCTTGAGAATGGTCCGTGCTATGGCAATCCGCTGCTTTTCACCTCCACTGAGCTTCAATCCTCTTTCCCCGACCTAAAAACAATAATTATTATTGAAAAACACCATTTTTAAATAAATAAAGAGAGAAAATAAACAGTGTCACTATTAATTAATACCTGTGTATCATAAGCGTCAGGGAATGTGAGTATTCTGTCGTGAATGTCTGCGTTCTTAGCAGCAGAGATGATGTCTGCCGTTTCAGCCGTAAGGCGTCCGTACTGAATGTTGTATCTATAAATCGAAGAATTGTGACATTAGAGCAGTGCATATTTGATAAAAATAAATAAAAAGAATAATCGTCATTTTTTCTAAAACATTTTATATGATTGTGGTACAGGTAAGGTAGGTATGTTCATTTTTTAAAATGTTTTTGTAAGTCCAAAATTTCTTTAAATTTTAGATTTTATGTACGCTTAATATCGAAGCGCCGCAATCTTAATGATTTTGAGTAATAAAATCGTATGATTATTTTATTCACGTGACCTGGTACATGGCCCGCCATGATGTGATGTTTTATCGGAAAAAAAATATTCCTTGTCTTAATATTCCTTCTTCTATTCTATCTACTAGTAAACAGCTATTTGTTTTCTCAATCTCTAGATGGCGCTGTTCTTACCTAATTTTTATATTTTTATTTTGATGCAAGACCGTTAGATAGACTGTTCTTGATTGTCGTCTTCTAATTTAACAAATATTACACTCTACGCGTCCGTTTTGTAAACATATAGAAATGACGTCATGAATATGGCGAACACCATTAAAAAAATAAATTATTTAAGGCAAAAGTTTTTGTACTATTTTTTTTTTTGTGGCTTTTATTAAAATAAACGCAGGTACTTTTTTACACACCCTAAATATTATATAATCACTGACCTGATAGTGTTATTAAATAGAACTGTGTCTTGTGGCACCACGCCAATGTTAGCGCGTAACGACGCCTGCGTTACTGTGCGTACATCTTGACCGTCCACTAGGATAGCTCCTTCGTTCACATCGTAGAAACGGAACAGTAGTCGCACTATTGTCGATTTACCCGCACCACTTGGACCGACCTAATTTATTAATTAAAATTATAAAACTTCTCTTTTCATTATACTCTCATTATAGCATTAGACAGAAGTTAAATAAGGTTCTTTTTATGGTTACTGACAGCTAATTTGCTACATATCCACTTAAATACCAGCTGCTATATTTAACTGTCATTTAAGCTATCTATTAAACAAATTTATGAGTATTTGCCTAACTTAAATTATTTAATAACTATTACAATAAAAGTGTTCATCTTAAAGAGCCTAAAGAGGCAGGGTTGGATAGTTTCGGCACGATTCTCATGTCACTATAACTCTACTAAATTTAAAACGTTGCGTAATCCTTTCAAACGTTTCAGCAGCAGTTTTTTAATATGGACTTGTTCCGTTATACACGGAAATTTTCAGTACACCTTTTTAATTTTGTCAATCTATGATGTATGTCAAAATACGTAATCTAGGATTGTCATCCATTGTGTATGATAGAAAAATATTAGATATATATTTCTTTTTTGCTTCAATTTAGCAAGAAATTGCTTCGATAATAGGCATAAAGTCGAAAAGTGGAAGCTCGCTATATTACAATTATGTAGAAAACGTATGCAGGTATTTCAATTTAATGTACCGCCGCACTTTCGCCATCTTATCTTAAATAACGTTTTAATTTCCTTCAAAATACCAACACTCGAGTTTTGAGATCATCAGAAAACTTAAAATTGGAGACACCAATGCATTCCACTAAATTTCTTGACAAATCTTATATTTCAAGCTCTCGTCTCTGGAATGCATTGCCCGAAAATAAGTTCCTTCTCGTCAAGTTCGTTCCACCGTAAATCTCATTCATGTCCTTGGGCTAGATTAAGGTCAAGAGCGAGCCCATTATAAATAAATAATACATATTAGATACATTTGTAGTAGATAGAAATATTTCAGATATTAATTAGGCGCCTCTGAGTCACCTACTTTTCCAAGGTAATGCTAAATCATTCATCATTAGAGGTACAAATATACTCTTTGATGTACCATAGAACGCTTAATGTCGAAGCACGGCAAATATCGGCCAATCAGAATGATTCAAGTACCACAACATCGTGCGATGATCACCAATTTCTATTAAGACGACAAATGTGTCAACAGATAAAATAAATCATTTTTTATTTATTTGGAATTAAACTAAATAAGACGATTCGTAATATTAGGCGTTTCCCAATTAAACTATGCCTTGTTCTATGTTAGTTAATATAGGTGTAAATGTTCATACAATTACCAAAGCAACAGTGCTTCCCGGTGGTACTGTGAAGCTGATGTTGTTAAGCACAAGTCTTTCGGGCCCGTAACCGAAGGAGACGTCTTTGAATTCGACGGCGCCGCGACGAACTAGTAAATCCGGGGCGCCGGGCACATCCTTAATGTCGGAATCCACACGCATTAGGTCGAACATGTTCTCCATGTCCACGAAATTCCTTTGTATAGCTCTGAAATAGGCACATACATATATGATGTCATATTCTGACATTCTGATACCTAAAAGCTGTAAATTGGAGCACAGAACGCTAATTATGGGGATAGGATAATGTATAGAAAATATTATGTACGCAAGAAAACATTACAATTCCTTCACAAAAAAAAAGTAATGTTCATAATCTTAACACAAGAAATAAAAATAAACTTGCCGTTCCAAGCTTCAGACTACAGAAAACCAGAAGATCATTTCTGGGTAAATGTATTGCTATGTTCAATAAAGTTCCACAAAATGTAATTGACCTATTAATTTATTATTATTGAATTCGAGTAGCTCGGTGGCGTAGTGGATAAGCGCCGCGGCCCGCGATCGTAGTCGTTAAGCAACTTTCGCAAGGGTCGGTCACGGGATGGGTGACCAAAAAATTATTATCTCGAGCTACTCCGTGCTTCGGAAGGCACGTTAAGCCGTTGGTCCCGGCTGCATTTGCAGTCGTCAATACCCTCCAATCCGCATTGGGCCAGCGTGGAGGGTCATGGCCCATCCTCCTTAACCATCCATAAGGAAGGCCTGAGCCCCTGCAGTGGGGACGTAAAAGGGCTGGTGGTGGTGAATTCATGTAAAGAACATACTTATGAGTAAAGGTTATAAAGTTGATGATTATTTTAAGGATCGCAATGCATGGAATTAATAGCCTTCGCTTTGTTCTATAACGACTGATTATATTTACAACCTATGACCCACCGACTTCGAAAGTTGTATTTATTATTGTGATAATACATATTATTTGGGTAATATGTCACGATTTATGTAAATGTTATTACTTATGATAAAGAGCTGGTAAGTTTCTTTATTTTATTCTTCTTGTCAGCTAAAAGACGTCCTGAACAAGTGGTAGGGGAAAAATATTTTTTGGATGATTCAAAAGTGCTTGTAATAAGCCTACTTGAATATTTTCATTTCATTTCAATGAAGCTATGCTGGACAAGAATGTCTTTTGATCCAGAGCAATAAGAGGAGCTAGATAAGAAAATAGTCGCTGAACTACAAGAGAATTAAAATATTTTCATTTCATTTCAATGAAGCTATGCTGGACAAGAATGTCTTTCGATCCAGAGCAATAAGATGAGCTAGATGAGAAAATAGTCGCTGAACTACAAGACATTTTTAACTAAAGCACGGTCGCGGAACAGAAAGAATTTTGTATGTTGACCTACTTATAGATATAGTTACCATTTTAGGTTTACTTTACTATGACAAATTGGCAAGATGCATCTGTGCGAGCGCAATAGCAATATATTTGTACATAAGTGAAAGAGATATGTAGTGACGGTTCATTGTACGAAATTAAATTAAATTCACTGTTGCGTAACCGTTTTATAGTATACTAGCTGACCCGGTAAACTTCGTACCGCCATATTTTATTCTCTAATCGCAACTGAGGAAATATAACCCTTCCGGTAAAATAAACACTTGCTTAAGAAACAATTAATTAGTACATTTTATTCGTTTACATTCACGACATAAGCGAATAATTGAGATGATAACTATCCTATCCAGTAAGTTCGACCAAAATACGGGTACATGTGAAATTTGATAGAAACCGGTTCAGTACTTTTGGAGTTTATTGGCACCATACAACGTGACACAATTTTTTTACATATATAAGATTACTAACCTGTAATAGGTACCGAACCAATTCAACGGTACATAAAGCTGCACCAGGTATGTTGCAAAAAGAGTATAGTCTCCAACAGTCAATTCGTTCATATTTGCGACCATATGAACGCAGAGTAATGAACCAGCCATCAAACCTATAATATAAAATAATATATATAATCATTACATACAAGCACGATCAATCTATCTAAAAAGCTATCTATGCTAGTATTATAAAGAGGAAAGATTTGATTATTTGTTTGTTTGTTTGCAAAGAATAGGCTCCGAAACTACTAGAGAAATTTTAAAAATTCTTCCACCTACGGGAAGCTACATCATATGCGGTAAACATAGGCTTATATATTATCCAGAAAAAGAGCAAATAAAGGGATGAAAATGGCAGTGGAAGTTTTTATAGGGAATTAAAACTTTACTATAGTAAACATTGTTTACTATTTAATTTGTCATTGTAATTATATCCGGGTCATGATATAATGAATAATAGACATGGCCAAATAAACAGTTCTCTAAGGACCATGGACCACTGGTGGAAAGCTCGTATATGATATATATTTTTTTTCTAATATTTTCAGCTTCCGCATTGATTATAGAAAAACCTCTTCTTATAACTACTAACTGACATGTACACTTTACATTTGACACAAATTAATATGCAAAAAAAAACGAATCCTATTTATGGTCATGAATAAACACTCACCACTGCAAATTATTATGTTTTGTATTGTATTCAACATGTTTAATGTAATCAAAGATTTGTATTCCTCTTTCTGAAATCAAATACCATAATATATTACGAACTATATAATAGAAAAAGAAAAAAAATGAATTAATTTATTTGAAAAAATTATATTAATATAGAACTTATATTCATCGTCGTAATTAAGGTAAATGGTAGCAATTCCAAACTAACAATCATACTATGTTAGTGACCATGAAATTAAGGATATATTAATATAAACTTTGTTATGTAGAACGAGGAAGTATTTAAAAAAAAAGAAAGCACTAAAAAAGCACCTCCACTAGATGGCGGCTCTAGCAAAAGTTGATTTTTGCAGGAAACGAATGGACTAAAGACAGTCATTTTCGTTCCTTTTAACTAACATATTAAAAAACTGAAATCAGAAAAGTTCGATACTTAGATATCAATACAAATAAGTTAAAGTACTAATAGAATATGAGTTGTTTATTGAGTTTTGAAAACGAATTTACTTTTAAATTTGAAAGAAAACCGGAAAGGTTGTCATGGAGAAATCAAGAACGTACCTTAGCGACATCTAGTTTGATTTCGGGAAGTAATTTTTTTTTTTGATACTTCCTCATTGTATTATAAAATTTTGACTTGCTCAACCTATTTGGTTGTCTTATAAGTAATAATTTTCTTATTTTTTAAATAAGATTGATCATATCTTCAGTAGTAGAGCAATGTCATATAACTACACTTGTACTTAAGAGCTAATTTTAAATGAATCGATACATCAATTCACTTAAATTTAGCTCTTAATAGCAAGCAAATCTATGTAGAAATGGATAAACTTAATAGTTTGACTTCACAATATAATGTATTATGCAAACTTTATGCATACATACATGAATTGTTTCTATACACGAAATTGATATAATAAGTAATAATAACGTCAGAAAATGTGTCTAATTTTATAAATATTTGTGATTTGTATAAATGAAATACCCAGCAAAACTCTAAAATTACCTGGAAATTGACTATAGCGTCTTTATAAGATAATACTTCATAACTCTCCGCACCATAATACTTTACGGTTTCAAAGTTAAGAAGCGAATCTACGGAACGCGCTTTCTGCTCGTTGTCGGCGAGATTCATTCGCCGTTGGAACTTAGTACGCCATTCCGTCACCACTATTGTGGCAACTGAAAAAATGAAATTAAAAATTAGGAAAAAAAAATTTACTAATCAACTTCATGTCTATCCAGGGTCATTTAAAATTTACTCGATTGATTAACTCGATTTTATCAAACATTTTTATTTTTTATGTTTTTAATTGATCCTTAAGCACCTACACCCAATGTTATGGATACGTAGTTTTTCGACTTTGCCCACGTAAAATATCAAATATATGTTTCGTATAATATATATACCAATATTACCACAGTAACAACTATTTAAACTAGTTAGTTATTTCATAAACTTAATATATATTCAGTAGTTTAAGATTCCTTTTAACACAGGAGGCGGATACAGAACTCTAAAAAGCTTGTGAAAATGTGACGTCACAACTCTATTAGGGTTGTGGCCAATACCATGAAGGGGAATCCGCCCTTGCTTCAATAAGCAAACGCACCAGTAATGTTATCTCTAATCAAATATAACTCTTAAGCCAATGTTCATTATTTAACTGCATAATCCATAACAAATCATAAATAGATAGATGAGCTAAAATAGTAATAAATGCATTTTACATTATTACTTTATTAACTACTCAGGGGATTGAGCTTGCCTTCCACAAATGCAACAGCAATTGTCGGAAGTTGCCGATATTTTCCTTCAAAATCATTTAAACTATCAAAGTGATTCGAACAAGTTTAATTCTGCACTTACTTATGTACAATATCATTGTTGAGAATACGATTAATCCAAACCACGCGTTGAAAGAGATCACGAAAAATATTACAGCAACAAGGATGTCCACTAGAGTGGGCGTTATGGAGAACAGAATGTATGACAGTAAATTGTCTATGGAATCTGTGCCCCTGTCCATGACGCGTAGAACTTCGCCCGTCTTCCTTGAGAGATGCCAACTGAGCGGCAACCCGTGCAAATGTCTAAAAAGCTCCATCTGTATCAGGATAGTATATTTGTTTTAAAGTTAATATAAGGTGTGCCTCAAAAGAAAATTTAATTTAAAAAGTCACAAAAAAGAACTAAGCAGATTCTCACAAAAATGTTTATTTATTTCTAAAATAAATACTCTTTGGGAATTTATTTCTTTAAAATAATGTTGTTCAAATGTTTACCCTCGCGTTCGTGACACTCATTTAATCTATCGGTAAAATTGCCAAATTATGTGAATTTACAGTTAATTCAGAACGTTGTATGAAGATGTTAGATGATTTTTGTTGCCTAAACAGCAGAATTTTCAAGACTTTAATCGATTGACCTGGTTCCAGAAAGTTTAATGTGTCTCTGCCTCGTGGAAGCTATCACGGAGAGTACTTGTAGGAGAGTCATTATCAGTATTTTTAGCGATAGATTAAACGAGTGCCGCAAACGCAAGGCTAAGCATTTGAACAACATTTTTTTAAGAAATAATTACCAAAGAGTGTATTTTAAAAATTCTCTATCCAATATTGTTCTATTATCTAACTGACGGGCTAAATAGAATGTTCGTTTTTTTTTTAACCAATCGTCATCCCTATTCACTAATACCAACCTCCAATTCTCTTGTAGTATACTGCTGCACTCTGATCCACAGGAAAGATCTAAGATTGTTGAGTAAACCCATGCCGCCGGTGCCGCCGCCTTGCAAGAACTTTAACACCACAGATACGATGACCAGGTCCCAGCGGAATAGTATTGGAGGATCTGTCAAGCTATTCACTGGAATAAAGAAAGCCTTTCTTTATAATAGGGGTGTAGACAACTTTTAAAAAAATTTTTTTTAATATATTTATATAAAATATACTTAAAAAATATCATTCATATAAGGCAAAATCTAAAAATAATTTTAATTTTCAAAATTTCCCGTGGAACCGCCACTTCTATGTGGCTATGACGTCACGGCACTCTAAAATGAATATCGTTCTACTCGTATTTATGCATAAGGTTCAATTCTATATAAGTTCTGATATGAATGGAGAGGGTATGGACCTCACGCACTGTTTGCGGTCACGTGACAACGAGCATACAATATTAGTTTTTGCAAAATTAATTTCAGCTATATTATAAATATTATAAGCATAAAAGTGTGATTATCGGTAATAATATTTTACACAATATCAGAGAAATAATATTATGTACTTATTTTCGTTTACTGTCTAGACACTCGTGTTATAGTCAATTTATCATTAGAAAAGATTATACCCATAAATAATATAAAGGGGGCTGATTGAGATATCAACAGAAGGACACAGATAGCAAAGAATGCATCAGCAAATTATCACGCATTTGGAAAAATCCAAATATCTCTGACTGGTTCACTCGATTTTTCTGTATGCCTCGGAATTGTGGACGATTAGGGTTGAGGAACAGAAGAAAATAGACGCCTTTGAAATATGGTGTTGGAGGATAAAAATATAATAAAACGGAGAAAAAATAGCCCTTGAGTTTCTTCTTAATATAAATGATTCGCAATCCGATAGCATATTTTTGAAGTTTCACAAGTGCCTACCTAACTAATCAAATCCGATTGAATTAAATCATGAACATTTGTTCCCTGAATGGTACTGGCAAGAATCACAGACTAACACACACAACACAGTAATAGGGTCCAGTTTTACCCTTTGGGTACCTAAAACTGTGCTGTTGTATTGTATCACAAACGGATATAAAAAAAGAATTAAATCTTATATATTTGATTAATTTTGCATTCACAATGCTATATTGAAAAAATATTCTTAATGAAGAATGCTTAAAAAATCCACTTTGTCTCTGGCACTGTGAGATGGGACTCGAACTCATGACCAGAGGTCGGAATTAGGTAGAGTTATTTATGTACTTGCATCGAAATGTTGATATTAATGAGGACCTTCCCGGGATTTCTTTATTTCTTCTTTCTTTATTTCTTTCTTTCATTGATGTAAGTTTGGCAACGTCGTGCGTGCAGTAGTTTAAATTGTGTAAAAGTAAATAACTTTTTATTTAAAAAATCACGGGATTTTTTCTGCTCTTTAAAATTAATCGCGGGATTTGAGGCATATCCACTTTATTCTTTCGCTGTATGAAATCAGTGTAAGTACATGAATAACTCTACCTAATTCCGACCACTGCTCATGACCTTTTACAATACTTTTTCATTCAGAATATTTTTCAATTTTGAATAATAACTAGAACCAAATTTTCATCTTTATCGAAAGTTTTAATATTTGTAAAAATATTTCTTTCACTGTACATTGATAAAAATACGCTCTGTAGTAGCGAAAAAGCGTTATATAATTTTAAAACTTACCAATCAATTTACTATATATGGGCACGTACAAGTTGACGACGCGACCCGCAATGAGGGCCAATATGCAGATGAATACGTACACCTGCAAGCACATATCCTTCCGTGGCCATAGGAACGGCAGCAAGACGCGAAGTTTACCGAACACATTGCGGAAAGTCGACCTGTTATCAGACTAAAACAAAAGAAATTGGTTGGTTCATATATGGGACACAATCTTCGCTATAAAAAATTGGAATATTCCACCTTATATACCAATACCTTATACACTTTATTACAACTTATACATATCTCAGAATAGCATGGACTAGGTACTTATGACGGTCTTAAGTCTTTTATTTAACATGCACACATACTTTGTTAGGTTTGACGGAATTATCTTTTCTTTCTTTTTGTTTTCTTAATATAGAGAACTAACTTGAGTCTTAGTGTTATGGTAACCTGTGGTACCTTCGTAATTTCAGATACTCCTAAAAAGTATAGCTCGCTAACTTGAAATCTTAGCAAAATATGTATTAATTTATATTTATTTAACTTTAAGGACAATACAAAAATATATATGTGTGTATGTAACAAGTAATAATGAGGAAAAAAGTTTAACTTGAAAGCGTAAATATTATAATATTTAATTTTACATATTACGTGAGATATTAAGTGTTTCAGAGTTATAGTTTGAATCATGTTTTACCTAATCGTTAAGATAAGAAAATTACGAATAAGCACAAATTGATGTGTATAAATTGAACGTGCACTAAGAAATTGGACAAATAGCAATGCAAAAGTGGTAAAAATCCGGGTAACTACGTGAAACCAAACTCCGCCCAGAAGCACAGAAGCTTTTCACTATAAAAAATGATGTACCAATAAATATATATAAAAAATAATAATAAAAGTGCTCACTGGATTATAAAAATAAATATACTCCATTTGAATTAAATCACGAACGAAATATCATAATAGAGGCATGAAATATAATTCTTAAATTAATTTTGAGACGAAGTTTGGTGACTATAAATCAAATAAGTTACAAATCACCTTTTTTGTTTTGAATATATCTTTTTCACCTGGCACAACACTGTACTAATTTTGATACGGACATGACATGTTTAATATAAAATAAACAAAATTATAAAATTTATATTATGACAATTAACATGATTATAATATGTACCGACCCACATACTAACCATAAAGTAAAATATTGACATTGTCATTTATATGACAAATTCAATGTATTCTCTTTAGAGGTGATAACAGTAAAAAGTTTTTCACAGCGTGTTAGCCCACAGTTGCGAATAGATCCATATTGAGTCGGTTTTTAGAAAAAGATAAAAGGATTATTGGCCGTATTAGTTTTAGCAAATTTAGTTTGCTACGAAAATAGTAGTTGAATACTCTTTGTTGTCCTACAAGCTCCTAGCTATAGCATGCATTAGATATTGATCTATCGTACTAACTTCGGCTGTCCCATTTCAAAACCTAGTAAGTCTACAAAAAGTAGAAATAGTGTTTTTTTATTAAAAGTGGTTTTCCAATAAGTCCCCACAAGATGCTAAAATGCCCTATATCAAAATTCACTTCTATCAAAAGTTAGAAGGTACCCTAAACCTAGTAATTGCTTCTAAATTTATGAAAAGTTAAGTTTTAACCATTATAAAACCTAGTATGTATCTTTAACTATTTCAAAATTCTAGTATGTGTTAGCACATACTAGGTTTGTGAAATTGTCAAATCTAGTTACTGGGTTATGAAGTGAATAAATGTATAGAAACAATATTTTGTGGTTTTCGTAAGACATTAAAATATTGAGTTACTAAGTTTTGCTTACTAAGTTTATAGTAGTAGTAAAGGTAAAGATTTTCGCTGTAGTGTAGAAGTTTATCGACAAACAATTAAAAGACTTAATATTTCATTTAATATGCCAAAAGACAATAAGTGCGCGGATTGTTCATTTTTTGAAGTAGAAATTAAGGGAAATACACATAAAGGTACTGAAGTGCCAGAAGATATTTCGACTAAACAAAAAGAACATCAAGAAAAAGTTAAATTAGCAATGGAACCATAGACTAGATCAGGGGTTCCCAAACTTATGTCGTCTAACTTATGCCCACTTTGAGTATTTAACTTAAACCACTATAACTTCAAATTACATTAATTATTGGGAGCTATATTAGCGGAAATTAAAAATTCATTCTAAAGAAGACATAAAGGGTTTAGCCGGATACGTATGACGAGTCGGCCCCCAAATGGGAATCGATATTGAAACTTATGTTTTAATATCGACTTGATGTTCAAACACGATTTATGTACTTTTCGCGACCGACTTCCGCTTTGACCTTGAGATAGAGAGCAAAATATCCGTATGCTTGACTATTACTGAATGTGATATATCTCTAAAGCTAATTAAGATAAAGAAGTGAAACTAACGCGAGGTGTTAGGTTACATTACAGACTATATCACATATATTTTTTTATAATTTTTAGAATAAAAAATTACATTAAAAAAATAAAAATAAAAAAAAACATGTTTTTTTTTCTGAGTTCTCTGTGACTTACAATCACGAAATTAATATATGTTATGCCATAAAAAAAATTGCGTGAAAAAAAAGTTGGTGCAACACAACGAAAAAAAATTATATGTGATTTCTGTCTTATGGTATACCCCCTGTATTATAAGGTTTTCACATTACATCATTGTTTTTTTTTTCGAAATTTCACATCAGCTTGTTTTAAAACATAAGTAAATAGTCTTCAGAGATGGGATAATAGTTAAAAAAGAAATGAAAAAGAAACAGCCAGTGTTCAATACTTATTATTATTACTTTTTCGTGTCTATCAAAATACAAGAAACAAAATATTAATCATCGTCACTGTTGTAATTAATTACAATCGGAACACTTTGAGTCGCAAATAACTTAGTTAGGACCTCAGCAGGACGTACGATTTTGGACAAATATCATCCATATGATAGATAATAAATAATAGCTGCTACATGAGAACAGCATCCCACTGTACGTTTGCCATTGGGGCAAGCACAGCAATAACGAAGAATACTATTGTAGTCATTACTTTCGGAAATATAGTGAATGTAAATTCGATAGACTTTTCTATTTATATGTCTTGATTTCACTTCTGCTTTGATGATATTAGGTGCTGATTTCACATATTGTACTGAGAGATTATTTTGATCGTCCATTATTTCGGCCAAGTTAAATGCTGCACATTTAGAAGTAGAAGCTTTTTTGTTAATATATGGGATAAGTCAACACTTCTCACAAAAAATATCATTAACTATTACGATTTTATTCAAACAGTCACTAAACACTTTAGCTTCTTCTTCATTCTTTATAATTTTTTTATAACCAGGAATCTTACACAGGTACTTGTTACAATTTTTACACTTTTTCGACATTATTACTTAATAATGATTTGGTTCGATAGTTAATAATTTCAAAATGCTGATACAAAATACCTATGACAGAATTTGAGTCCCAAACTGCCTTCTTGTGTAATACAAATGACTGCTACTTTAGCTAAACAAACGATGCAGTAAACAGCTCGATAACAAGTTCGAACTTGTTTGTTTATACAATGTCCTTACATATGAAATTGGTGTTTGGTATAGCATCAACAAAAAGTCGAATATTTTTTAATATATGTACTATATTTATTTAATCAAAGTATAAACCATTGTTATCTATGCACTTTTGTCATCTCATAGGTAGGTCATTGATCCCCTTACTGAAAAAACCATTCGGACGGGAATCAATAAAATCTTTGAAGGCGATTTGCACTGCCCCATCGGAGTTGATTTTTTTCCTTGCAAGAAGTTATCCAAATTTCGAAAAAAATGATGATCTTTGAAGCAAGGTCCGGGGCGTACGGTGGATGTCTTAGACATTCCAATTGAAGCTCTTCTAATTTGGTAGCCGTCTGTTGTGCAACGTGTAGTCTAGCGTTATCGTGAAGTAGCAGTGGCGTAAAGCGATTGACCAGCCTCGGTTGTTTAACAGCTAGTTTTTCCAGCATGGTTTGCACTTGGTGACAATAGACGTCTGCTGTAATCGTCTGGCCAGATTTGAGAAAACTCTAATGAACGACACCGGCACTAGTCCACCGAACGCTTACAAGTAACTTTTTTGGGGTCAATTTTCGTTTGGGGCAGGATTTAGCTGGCATGCCAAGGTCCAACCATTGCGATGAGCGCTTCCGATTATCGTAGAAAATCGACTTTTCATCACAGGTAATGATTCGATTTAAAAACCCTTCATTATTGTGCCAGTTAAAACACAGTCGAAGCGCGTTTACCGGTTTGCTTCTCTCAATTCGTGAGGTACCTTTCGTATTTCGTGTTCGTGAGGTAGCTTTTTAATCTTTCCAATTTGCTTCAAGTGGATTAAAACAGTTTTATCACTAACACCGCAACCTGCAGCTAACTCGGACGTGGTTTTCGATGGATCCGATTTCACAATACCCTTCAATTCTTCATTATAAACTTGGGTCTCTGGCCGTCCATGAGGCTCGAAATTTCCAGAACCAAATTTCCAGAAAACGTTGGGACCAAAAACGTACTGTGTTTTCTTAACGACACAACCGCCATACACATCATTAACCCTTCGAGCCGTTTCCGCAGCACTGGTACCATGGTGGAACTCGTACTCGTAAATAACACGATATTTCAATTTTTCCATATTTAATACTGGGTGACGTAAATAGGACAAATAGAAGAAAATAAAACAAATGAATGGCGCCTAATGAAACACAAATACATGTGTAAATGGCTGTATAAATTTGAATTTACTAGCTTTTGATCTGGATAAGCTGATTTTTAGCTAATATGTTAAACCAGATCAAAATCTAGTAAGAGAACTTACTAGGTTTGAAATGGTTTTGGAAGTCAATTTTTACTTAGACGTTTTATTGTTAAAAATATTTTAGCTCATAAAATTTGTAGAATTAAACTTAGACAAAAAAATTATATATCAAATTAACAGTTTCAAACTACTCCTTGTAAATAATAATTTCTCAACAGGTGTTAAATAGTTTAAAAGAGCTACCCTAAAAAGAGTTTTTTTGCTCTCCTGTAAAATTTAGTCCAAAACAGTTACTAGGTTTTGAACCGGGACAGCCGACTTGTGATCTGCTTTTTACTACATAACTAATGGCAACTTTAGT